CTGGCCAAGGCTGAGGACACCGAGATGTCCGAGACATGAGCAACACGACCAATGCACGATATGAACAGGCGCAACGGAACGGCCTCTGCATGATAGACGAGGCTTGTAGTATACCATATCAGGTGAGAGCTATGTGGCATCTCGTAGCGAATCTCACTTCATCATGACCCGTTTGCTGTCTAGACCCGACGTAGTTTCTCTCTCGCTGACACGTGCATCCAATGGAAGCCTCCAGCGCTGTACGGGGCAGTCGCATGTGACGGCATCGTAGCTGCCTCTTCTGTTGTTTCCTTGACACCTTCCCCACGCACGACATGAACTCGAGAACTTCAATTCCTCCGCCATGCGTCTCCCTCACCTCACATCATCCAGTCCCGTCCCAATTTTATTGCGCTACCATTAGCTCCATTACCAGCTGCATCGCCTATCGCACTCTGTGAGCATCAAGATGCCTACACCCATCCTACGGCCCACCTCCAAGTCCCCAAGCGGTGCCGCGCCGTCGACATCCTTCCTACGCCTGCTCCTCGACGAAATCAGGTCACAAGATGGCCCTACAAAGGATACGCCCCGACCGCCCCGACCAACACTCAGGAGCCTACAGATCCCACTTTCGCGCTTCATAGCTCAGCCAGATGCCACTGGGGAGGATATCGACCCCTCCAAGTCGCCACTTCTCTTCTGCGACTCTGATATATCGTCCATGCCTTCACCTGCTGAGCCTCCGACTTCGGCAGTCACTTCAGCTTCAACTGAGACGACGGTTCCGAGCTCAGCGCTGACGGACTCAACTGTGCCTTCAGATCAGAGTTCCTGGGCCGCGTGTCGTACGTACATCCAAATTTTTGACCATACCCAGGCGCTGACATTGCGAAGCACGCAAGCGAGGGAGAAGCCAAGAGACAGCCCGGCGACAACATCAGACCAAAAAGCTGCGGAGCGACTCACCAAAACGAACCCTGGCGCCTACAATACCTCGGTCAAGAACACCTGAACGAAACGACACGCGAAGGTCTACGTCAGGGTCCCCTGAACCCCCTGAGACACCCAGCTACCTAAGACCACTACACTTGATGGATACGAGCGACGACCTCCGGCACGACATCTCCATATACAAGAACCCCCATGGCGACGACTGGAAGAGGAACGCGCTTTGCAGACACTGCTTCCAGCGCCGCGGCACCTTCAACAGAATCATGACGCATGGCTACGAGGCGTGCGGTCGTGAGGAATGTTTAGATAGCCACTACTGGGAACCTACTCCTGGGCCTTATTACTAGGATTTTCGCGCTGGACGCGGCAGGTATAACGAGATTGGATCAAATGAACGGTTTTCCTTGCTATGCCACTTCTTGTGCGTGACTTTACTACATTTCGTATTGCACTCTGCAAGAACATTGTTCAAAAATACATTTTTCAGGTTGAGGTATACATTGTCTAATGCCGTAGCAACTTATCAACTTCCAAGAGCATGTACGCGGCAGCCTGCAACCCAAATCCCACCCGTCCCCAGCTTCGCCGCACCCACCATGAAATCCCACCCGCCCATCACCCTCCCAACTTCCCAACTATCTAGTTTTGAGGCTCAGATATTTTCAGTTTCGGACTTGTGGATTCCCTTCTTGGAGAGATTCCTGTCCATCTGTCGTTATCATCACCGCCTCCGATGAACTGTCGGCCTGTTGAGTTCGAGTCCATCAAGGACACTTATCCAGAACCACGCATTCTAATCAAGTAAGAAAGGGGCTTTGAGTAGTGTGTTTCTTGGTGGCTGTGGCTGCTCAGGCATATGGGGGTTTGACAGAAGGAAGATTTTTTTTTCGGTGTTCTGCCACCGAATGATAGGATATCTCCATTTGACAGGAAGACAGTTTTGCGCATGGAGTAAAGGTGAAGGCGAGGATGCCAGGGCTTTTTATATTCCTGAACGCTGGGTGTGGGGCGGTACGACCATGGTATGAACGCTCAAATGCATCGTATTTGTAATATGGACCGTGGTAATCTATCATGGTTGCAATCCACTCCTTCAATTGGTATTGCGATGGCGCAAGCGACGACCCAGTCAAATGGTCCGCCATATACAGCATTTACATCTACATACTGCGCAGTCCCAATGGGCTATGTCATACTCATTTTGAAGACTGATTACGGGCCGAAATCTTAGCATCCAATCCATATTCATTATGCTCACCTTCTTGTTGCATCCCGAGGTCGCCTTGGCGGCGGCGGCCATACGTACCGCATGCGTCATCGTCGCCTTCAGGAGCGATAAACCAACCAACAGAATCGTCAGTCACGAACACACAACATCTGCAGACCCCGAATTAGCAGCAAAGGCAAAGGCAAAGGCAAAGGCAAAGGCAAAGGCAAAGGCAAAGGCAAGGGCTTGTATTCACGTCACCATATCACAACATCACAAAGAGGAGGAAGAAAGTTGCCATTTCGCGCTCTCGCACTAATCTGAAACATGCAAGAAATGTTGCCCAAGCAGAGTCACACAGTGAAGAGACACCGTCAATGCATCCGAAGACACTCTGGGCTCACGCTGGCAAAGGGCTGTTTGATCTTCCCGACCCAGATGACCACGTATGCTATGGAAGAGCATCGTAGCGGAGATATCCTATTTCAGGCCCCGAAAGCCCGAGTACCCGAAGGTCCAAGGACCCCGAAGGCCAAGGAGCGGGTGGTATCCCTCAGTAGCCCTCAATAACCCTCGGGAGCCCTCATGTTAGCATGTCACCGTGCACTGTGCAAGGAAAGGAAAGGAAAGGGCGAAAACGAATGCAAGTGGGATGAAAGAGAAAAGGTGGTGTTGGGGGCGAGGACGGGGTTTTGTAGGGGGCCATGGGACGCCGGGCTTCTTGCCAGTGTTCAGATGCGCTTGCTATGGCACTGAGGGTGGCTGCTCGTTTAGATGGCATGGGGGCTCTCCAGATGGCAAGTGGCACGCGTTGGGGAAGAAGGGCGTGATGGTTCGTGGCAGGAGTGGTACACGATCAAGGCACGATTTGGGGTATGAGGAAGGGGAGTATGGGAGTATGGCAGGAATAGGGCTGCATCATGGAGTTTGATTGTCACGATCCACGGTTTGGAAAGGCGTGAGTTGCTAGCTATGATACACATTCTAGATTTCACGCATTCTTGTGGAAGACGCCGTTTTGGAGATATTGTCCAGCTAACATTCTGCTTGTATGATTACATGCTGTGGAGTGTCTTAGATTGTGCATCGCTGTGTACATCTCAACAGCGCATCACTCGAACGAGCATCAAGTATTCCATTGAACAAGAGTGATCACAATTACGGCCTGTAAACTCAGTGCACATCATGCATGTTAGTAGGAAATAGGACGAGGAGAATCGTCTAACAAGACTTGCATGGATAGACACTGCTCTATCTGCTTGATGTCATGGATGCACAACCGCCTCATGCCCAGGTGGGCTGCGAGCATTGAACTTCTTAGGTACAGCTAGGAACCGCGAGATCCCCCTCAAAACTCCGACTTGTGATAGTGTATCATTAACGTGACGTATGGATGTAGTTTTAATTCGCATAGTTCCGATTCGAATAACCCGAGCAGATCATCACCGCCGCATCGCTCAACTCGTCATCTCCAGCTTTCCATTCAATGCAGGCATGTTCTGTCCTAGAACCGATCAATGAGAAGAGCCACTGTGAGGCGAATTGAATCACTGACCAAGCTCTGATGGCTTACCTGATATCGATGAGGCGGACTACTACACATGTATCGAATGCGCAACGCCCTTCCACCACATCGGCATCCACGACAAATACAGAGAGACATGCATCAGCCATTCCATCGGCGGCGTACTCGGGTATTATTTGCGCGCTCAAGGCGCTACCTAGAAACGTCTGGAAGAAGGGCTTCATGCTTTCTTTTTCCTTACCAACGCCCGTCATCTCCCCTAGTGCATTTCCCACGTGGTGCCGTTATTGCGGCACCTGGGTAGTCCGAATATGTATGTCAGAAGCTTACATCTGATGTCATCTCTACACTGAAAACACCACACCTAGATAAGCAGATAGATTGTTACAAAGCGCATATGTTGCGTTCTGCTTTCAAAGCCAGAACGAGATGCCTCGTGGTCTCGGGGTTTGGAGTTAGTGGCGATCGTGGTGGGCAGGTGCGCCCTTGCGAGCCAGTTGCACAACAACTCCAACACGATCGATGGCTGCAACGGACTACAACACGGAGATACGATATGTTACCTTCTGCGAATGTTTGGAATGGGCAACGTGAGGTTGAAAGACGTTATCACATAGCAGTTTCCAGGGACCAGGGCAAATGCTTTTCCGAACGGATGGTTTTGCTAATTACGGCCCGCTAGTCTTTGCCATCGGCAGGTCTTGCGCCGATCGCGGCAATTCAAGGGCGAAGACATGAATCGCACCGTCGGAAGCACTGTCGGAAGTACCGTCGGAAGGCCGCTCACGAAAGACGACGGTGTTGTATCTCCAGGTCGATGTGTGCGTCTGCCATGGGACTCATCGTCGGCACTTGCGCGTTAAATCCGCATTACATACCAGCATGCTGATCAACATGTTCATGTCAGAACCCTAGCAGATGTCTTAGCCGGATGACGCACATACGCACCCCAGCAATCTAGACAGACTGGCGCCGTTATGGCAGGAAGACGCCACCCCACTCTGCGCACGAGTGGCTCCAGAGCCTTTGGGCCGATCGCCGCGGCGCGGTTTGAAAGCTTAGTCGAAGCGCGATGTCTGCTTGTAGTATACAGTATCCCTTCTTGCCGCGGTTTTCCCACTTCATTCCTTCGCCTGTTGGACCTGCATCGCGTCGCATAACCAGGGTTTGTCATCAGGGGTTCTTTGAAAACCTTAGCGAGTTATATCCGAGCGGCAACTAGTCGTTTCCAGAGTGGAGCAGTTTCTGAAAGATTGGCGTGCTGTTGGTGATTTTGGTACTCGTCGGACCTTGCGTTCCATTCTAGCACCCAGAGCGACCGCGAGACTCATCAGAATGGAGTCGAAAGAAAGAACGAGCTTTGGCTCGGCACGCGAACAACATGAAGACAGCGCGTCAAGCGAGTACGAGAAGAGAGGAGTATCTGCTGCCGACATCAACGAAGAGAAAGATGTTGCACACGGCGGAGCTACGCAGTCCCAAACGAAGGAGCTGAATGACGCAACAGCTGAAAGAGGCCGTAGCCAAAGCAGACGTTCGCAAGACGGCAGGAGTCTGAAGACCGTCAGATCGCATCACTCGAGAGCTGGAGGAGATGGCTACACATGCCTCGACGCAGAAGCCAACGCCAAAGGCCCAAGCAACTCTCGACCCGGCCCTGTAACAGAGCAACCGTACCTTGTGACTTGGGATGGTGACGCCGACCCAGAGAATCCACGGAGCATGGGCAAACTACGAAGATGGCTCATCGTGTTGATATGCGCCAGTAGTTCACTATGCGTGTACGTCATCAACTCCATATACGAACCGTTGCACGCGCACAAACTAACGATTGCTAAATGTAGGACATGCACCTCATCGCTATATACGTCGACGTATAGTCAGCTGGAGCCTGAGTTTGGGGCCTCGCGCTTAGTGTGCACGCTTGGTCTATCTATGTTTGTTGCGGGACTCGGCGCAGGACCGATGATTCTAAGTCCGCTCTCGGAGGTGCGTACAGCTGCCGGGAATTAACGGCACTTCGCCGTACCCGTGATCGACTAACATGATCCAGTTTTATGGTCGAAGGCCAATCTATATCTGCTCGTTCACATTCTTCCTCATCTGGATGATACCATGCGCCGTGGCACAGAACATCCAGACAATGCTGGTTGCGCGCTTCTTGGACGGCCTAGCTGGCTCAGCCTTCCTCAGTGTTGCTGGAGGGACAGTCGGTGACATGTTCGGGAAACACGTCAGTACATTCGATGCTCGCTAGTCGTCTATATCTGACGTAAGTGTAGGAGCTATCTGCACCTATGATGGTCTACACAGCCAGCCCGTTCGTTGGGCCAGAGGTAGGCCCTCTGATAGGAGGCTTCATCGTGGAAAATACTACATGGAGATGGTAAGTGCTTATTCCAGGCCCACTATCCCCACCTTGCGACACTGCACCTGCGGCTGCGATGGCGTTGGCCGAGCTGGCAGCATCTACCCCTGATGCTCGTATCGAGCGTGCTGTCGATCAGCTCCTGCGGAGAAATCGGTGATTTGTTAACATGCATCCAGGTGTTTCTATGTTCTCATCATCTGGTCTGGAGTTCAGGTAAGGTTGTGCTGCACACCATGTGTACTAGAGACTAATGCTAGTCTCGCAGCTTTGCCTAATCGTTCTTTTCGTGCCTGAGACGTACCACCCCGTTTTGCTCCGTCGAAAGGCGATTCGACTGCGAAAAGAAACCGGCAACCCAGAGTGGATAGCGCCAATTGAGAAGATGGACAGATCTATCGCCAAAACCGTGCTGTGGTCATGCATCCGCCCGTTTCAACTTCTTTTCTTCGAGCCTATGGTGGGTCTCCGCGCTTAGTGAAGCCGTGATTGGTGGACTGACTGTTGTGATCTAGTGCTTGAGTCTTTGCATCTTGTCGGCCATTCTGCTGGGTATCCTGTACCTCTTCTTTGGCGCCTTTCCTCTCGTATTCGGCAACAACCATGGCTTCAGCATCTCGCAGGTTGGACTCGCATTCTTGGGTCTGTTGGTTGGCATGCTCGCGGGTGTCTCCACGGACCCTCTCTGGAGAAGGATATACGGCAGGCTCGTGCAGCAACGCGAGGAGCAAGGAGGCGAGCCCGGAGGTTCGGAACCTGAGTTTCGGCTCCCTTCGACTATTGTTGGGGCCTGGGTCGTCCCTGTCGCACTCTTTGGTAAGCCGCTGCATGGCCTCGCCTCGAACAAGCTTCTAATCACACGTATGCAGGGTTTGGGTGGACGACATACTCCTCAGTAAGTTTAGAATTCTACTGGCATGGAAGATTCCATGGCTAACATCCCGGCTTCCGCAGGTTCACTGGATAGGTACGACATCATCGTGCATATTGTCCAGTCGCAATAACAACTGACCATGACACTGCAGTTCCAATTATCTTTTCAGCAGTATTTGGCCTTGGGTAGGTTTTCTTCTTTTAGACGCTCCAGGTGTCGTCGATGAACAGCTCACTGACCGTGTTCCGTGACGTAGTGTCATCTGGGTCTATTCAGGGGTCTTTACATTCTTGGTGGAAGCTGTAAGTCCCACCACGCACCGAAGTCGGACCAGGCTCTTGGGTACAGAGATAGTGACCTCGCCGAACAGTACCCTGTCTACGCTGCATCGGCTCTCGCGGCCAACAGCTTCGCGCGGTCGTACTTTGCTGCGGCTTTCCCGTAAGCTAGCACCAACGTTGGGGCAGACTTCATTACTAATTAACGACATAGACTATTTGGTGTTCAGATGTACAACAGTAAGTCCCTAGGACGGCACACCATGATGAAAGAGCGGTCACTGATTTGGAAAAGATCTCGGCTACCAGTGGGCAACTACTCTACTTGCGTTCCTTGCGCTGGCCATGGCACCGTAAGAGACCCAAGAGAATGGTCGTGGGAACCACTAACGTATATTGTTGCAGATTTCCAATCTTGTTCTTTCGATATGGCAAGCGGCTCAGGGGAGGCAGTCGATATGCATCAGCATAGTGGGCATGGAAGCGACGCGAGGGCATGTGGCAGACTTGACTGGAAGAGGACTAATAATAGCGAGTGACACGGCAGTTTGATGCGAAAGAATTTTATTGAATCAAGGAATTTGCGCCCACACGTGAGACCACATGAAGCAGGCTGGCCGGGCCCTTGTGCGACGGAACATGAGCGCCACGAGGGCGGCCACGCCAGCTCGAGGGACAACGGATGCACAAGAGACGAAAGCGGCTGCGGATGGTACCGTTGCCGGGGGCGGTGCACCGGCGTGCGAGGAAACGTGGTCGGCAGGCCAGAGACACGGTGAGGGAGACAGTGAGGGCACACAGCGCTCGCGAAGCGTAGCGAGTGATGGTAGTTGGTGATACGAGCGCGCCCATAGGCTGGGGATACGCCAGTGAGAACCAACGCCAAGGCCTCGCATCCCACACTGCATGCATGCCTCATAGCCGAGTTTGAGGCACTTTGGGCATGCCGGCTGCTTGCTTTTTGGGGATGCGCTGTGTGGCATGAGGTGTCGCGGTGGGAATTGCGAGTGACTGGGCAGGGCCGTCTGCAGCAGGGTGCCCAATCTGCAAAGATGGACTGACCGCGATCCACCTATGTATTGACGACGATCATGTGGCAGACAGCAGCCCCAGAGTGGCTGAAGGGCTAGCGACGTCAAATAGTGAAGCAGAAGTGCGTGACTGCGGGCTAGCGGCCGGCCAAGCAAGCGGCTTACCGGTCGACAGGGACCGAGGCAGCTGCGTGGGCTGCACCTTCCAGCAAACCTCGAACAGCCAATTGCGGGGAATCGCATCTGCGCGCATCTTGCAGCGAGCTCCAATATACCGCACACGACCAGCGCCCGACGCCGCGAGCCCACTCTCAACTGCACACAGCGCTGCAAGTGCCCTGGCCGCTCGTCAAGCCCAGCAGCGCCTCCATCGCCTCGACCGCGCGCTCCGTCGCGACTCGTAGCCGGCCTCCCCAGACGATCATCTCCCATCGCCCATCGCCATCGACATCGCTATCGCCCATCGCACCTGCCCCAGCGCTGACCGTGACTGCACGCGCTGTATCACCCCACTGCCCTATCGTGTCGCGCCTTCCGCGCTCGACGCGACGCCGCACCCGTGACTGCCACGCTGCTGCTCTCACCTCCCGCGGGCTCGCTGAACGAACCCCGGCACCGCTCGTAGAACCACACTCGACTCCCAGCAGCATGGGCAGCGCGTCTCGGTAGCATTTCGCTATCAAACATGGTTCTGTGTGCTCCTGGAATGCTCCCTCGATTACATGGACCCCGGCCCCGTACCACAATAGCTCTGTCCCATACCTGTCCGCCGGATTGAGAGCCCTTCACTCTCTGGGTCCCCTGCATAGCTCGTCATTGGACCTGTCAGAGTGCCACGGCAGCGCCCGTTCAAGCAGCCAGCGCACGCGTGATCGCACTCTAAAACACGCAGCTGGAACGCCTCCAGCCGTGCACCCCAGACACATTGGCTGAACCGTTTTGCTGGGAACACCCCAAGATCACCATTGACGGCTACACGCAGCACTAGGCTCTCTCCCCAGCGCCTCCGTCCACCGCAGCGACCGTCCGTGCTTGGCCGAGTGCCTGCGCCAGTAGAGGGGATATCATGACCACCCCAGACGCCCAAGATGCCTCTCCTTCGCCCGAGTACAGGAGCGACCTGGACGACGACATGGCTGCTGAACAGACTACAGACCGCCAGTCTGGCGACGGCGATTCCAGCCAGAAGCCTACCAATGGAAAGCCCAATGCAAAAGACCCTCTAAGACCGCGGAGGAAGAAGGCGCGGAGAGCGTGCTTTGCCTGCCAGCGAGCCCATCTGACATGTGGTGAGTACTGATTGTGAGTCATTGCATCCAATGGCGGGACTGACACCTTCCAGGCGACGAGAGGCCGTGCAATCGCTGTATCAAGCGCGGCCTCCAAGATCACTGCATGGACGGCGTGCGCAAAAAGGCCAAGTATCTCCACGATGCGCCAGATGGAGCGCTCATGCCTGGTGTGGGCGGTCACTACCCGTACATGAACGGTAACCGACCAACACCAATACCGAGTCACGACACACAACCAGTCTCAGTCTCTCCACAAAGCAACATGTACAATCAAGCCCAGCCCGCGGCATTCTACCCGCCCAATTCGATACCAGGGCAAATGCCTGTGGCTCAAGACGGTCACGCCTTCAGCAATCAGCAGTCGCCAATATCACCTCCGTTCAACCAGACACACCACGGCCCAGTACAAAACGCACCAAACCCCATGTCACAAAACCAGCAGGGCCAATTGCAGCAGTTTGGACCTTTGTTCGACCCAAGTGATCCCGCACTGTTCAATTTCGACATCTCGAGCCTCAATTTCGGAAACCATTACGGAGCCCTGGAATTTGGCATGCTTGGCCACATGTCATCAGGCGCAGTGGACACACCTCACGACAACGCGATGATGAACATGAACGGCGCTGTGAACATGTACAACGCACAGATGCCCTCAACTTACGCGGACCAGAACAACGCGGCAACCGCTATGGCATACAATGCGAACGGACTTCCAGCAGGCGAATGGCAAGACGCACATTCGCGGCAAGGGAGCATGCACGTTCACACGCCAAATACCGCTGGCCACGATCACCATAGTCTTCGAAACGACAGCCTCAGTGGTCCTCACGCATTCGTTATTGGCCAAGGGCCTGCGAGCCACACAGCAAGCCCAGCCTCTACGGATGCATCTACTTTCGAGGGTGACAACCCGCTGGCGACTGCAGCGTTCTTCGCCAACACAAATCGACCGCATGCGCAGCGTTCTCCGGCTGTTAGTCGATCACAACACGAAAGCAGACCTTCGACCACAGCGCTTCAGCCGATACACTCGAATGGTGTTCGCAAGCGTCAACGCGATACCAAGAGCATCTACCAAGGGGTTACCAAGCCATACGATTATGTTAAGGGCTACCACAGGCTTTATCAGCTGATCGACAAGAACTACTCGAGGCCTTGGGTCGCCAAGGCACAACAGTATCTGCAAAACTACCGACCTGTATTGCTACAAGTGCGGGAAGAGCTGAACAGAGACGACTTGATTCATCAAGAAATGGGTCTCCAGCGTCAGGTCATGACACTGCAAGATCACTTTGCGGAAGTCGGTACACCGTTCTTGATCTGTCGTCGCTCAGGCGAAATCGTCGGCATCAACAAGGAGTTTACCATTCTCACGGGCTGGAAAGACCAAGTTCTCCTCGGCCACGAGCCGAACCTCAACGTCAACACGGGCACGAACCGCGACACAAGCGAAAGCGAAACGGGCTCAACCCAAAACACCACACCCAACCTCACCGCGCAAGACTCCGAGACCACACCAAGCGTCAACATCATCGAACTCATGGACCCCAAATCCGCCCTTGAGTTCCTCCAGCACTTCTCCGAACTGTGTTACCAGGACCCTCACGGCTACGCTTCTCAGCGCGTCAACATGCTCAGATACCAGACCAAGGCAGACATGGATCGCATCCAGGAAATGAAGAATGCGAATGCTGGTGCTGATGTCAAGGTCGATCCGCTTGTCAAGGTGGAAGGCGAAAGTGCCATGCAACGGCTCGGTGCGAAGAATGGTATGGTTGACTGTATGATCTGGTGGCATATCAAGCGCGATATGTTTGATATGCCGGTGCTTGTTTGTATGAGTGTAAGTTCAACCTTGAAGTTATGTATGGGTCAAGTGCTAATGATTGTGTAGGTCATGCCTGTCCTTGACAAAGGGCTGCAATGAGCGAGATGGATTCGAAGATGAATCCTGGCCTCCGCTCGAACAACTCAATCCAAGCAGCTCTCGCTGCTTGGGTCGGGTTGTAGGGAACGCAGCTCTTGTTGCATTCCTCAACGACGGATTGCCTCAATACGGACGATGGACTTTGGATTGATATACGATCATGTCATGGCGGCAGTAAAAAAGTGCTTTTATGGTTTTGGTTTGCTGGGACAATTGGCGCATATGCATGGATACCAGAGTCGTCTCACGAGACGTGCGCATCATGGAAGGTAGTGCTTGGTATGCTACTTCTTGTTATGTGTTTCAGGTGTTCGAGGGCGTACTTTAAGGCGTAAACGGAGTAGACGAGCTGCCACCAAAGGCGCGATACCAATGCTTTCCACGGCTAGAACAACAGTATGATAATAATGTTTCGTTCCATTCACAACATCCCTCGTTATGCGCATCGTGAGACCTTCTCCCCTCTCCATCCCCCTCCATCACCTCTTAACTTATCATCTGCGCAATCCCCACCCCATCCTTCTGCCCCTCCAGATTCCAATTCACCTTAACATCCTCCCCTCCCCTCAACCACTCATCCCTCTTCCAAACCTCATACCCCTCCCTCGCCAAACTCCTCTGCGCAACCCGAATATCCTCCCTAATATCCTCCACCAACGCCTCCTTACTCACATAATCATATTCCGGCCGTATAAACCCCAATATCATCAGACTAAGCTGCGCGCCATAAAAGTCCTTCTCGAAGCTGTGCAAGATGTGGATTTCGATGCTGCGCTGGCTGTTCTTGTAGTACGGGTTGTAGCCGATGGAGAGGACGGTGGGGTAGATTGTGGAGGGCGTAGGCGTTTCTGAGGAGTATTCGAGGTCGAGGACGGCGTGGGAGGAGGATTGCGAGGGGATGGAGGTGTCGGATGTGGCGCTGGGGACGCTGGTAGAGGAGGTGGAGTGGGCGATTGTGGAGGTGTCGAGCGTGCACCAGCCGTAGTAGATGCCGGATTCGAGGGCGTCGTGGCCGCCTATGCTCAGGCCGGAGAGGGGAATGTTGGCCGTGGGGATGCCTAGCTGGTGACGTTAGCTTAGGATGAAGTTTGGGAGGGTTGAGGGCTTTGTACCTCTTTGCTTCCGCGTCCGAAGCCTTTTACTACGGGGCCTCGGAGCTTTATTGGGAAGGGTGGTTGTGGTGTTTCGGGGCCGGCGATGGGGTCGCGGGGTTTGTCTGGTCGGACCATGGTGTTCGTTGTGTTCGTAGGGTCGATGTAGGTTAGAATTGGAGTACAGAGGTCAGGAAGTGAATATCTGGAGGAGAGGGAGTGTTGAGCGCGGTACTTCGAGCACTTTCTGGTCGGGATGATGGAGGTCCGATCGGAACATTGGTGGGGCTCATGTCAGATAGCAAGCGTCACCGTTGTCGGCTTAGTCAGCGTCGTGGTACCTTGCATCGTCACTTCCGACGTGGACATGTAAACGGCAACTACATTAGCTTGTTTAGTAACACACGATATGACTCGCAGATATCTGTCTCCTATAACCATTCGTAATTTGACTGCTGCCTGCTCCAGATCCCGCTACTTGTTGCCTAACGCGCGCAACATGGCATCTGCTTCGACGGCATCGCGCCTCTACCATGACAAACCTGCGTTTATCTACGGTACTGCTTGGAAGAAAGATCAAACAAAGAGGCTAGTCAAGGAAGCTCTCGCTCAAGGCTTTCGTCGCGTCGATACAGCTGCGCAACCAAGGCATTACCAGGAACCTTTGGTCGGTGAAGCGCTTCGTGAGGCGTTTGCTGAGGGTACACTTGAACGCAAACAGCTATATGTAGGTTCAACGGAGACCGATTGTAGTTGATGCTTATGCGTCACAGTTACAAACAAAGTATACCACGCCTGCTGGCCAAGATCTGACCAACATGCCCTACGATCCTGAGGCGCCGTTGGACACCCAGATACACACATCCGTCGCGTCCTCGCTGAAGAATCTGCGATACAACGACTCAGATAATGTCTCATACGTTGACTGTCTACTTCTGCACTCTCCACTGCCTACCATTGACCAAACAATTCAAGCGTGGAAACTACTAGAGTCTTATGTGCCCGAAAAGATCCGCTCCCTCGGCATCTCCAACGTTACTCTTCCCATTATCCAAGCCATCTTCGAGAACGCCACGATAAAGCCGGCCGTTGTCCAAAACCGTTTCTACCCTCAGACACGCTACGATGGATCGTTACGCGCCTTCTGCCGCGAACACAACATTATGTACCAGTCCTTCTGGACTCTGACCGGAAACCCTTCTCTTATCAGATCCGAGCCGGTCGCTGCGTTGGCTCAAGCTGTTGGTGTCGGACTGCCCGTCGCGCTTTACGCTCTTGTCATGGATCAAGGAGTCGTTGTGTTGAATGGGACTACTTCAAGTGATCATATGCGGGCGGATCTGGAGGGTGTTGAGAAGGTGCTTGACTGGGCGCTGTCGCAACCTGACAAGTTCAAGGCTATTAGCGAGGCCTTCAAGTCACTGCTCGCATCGTAGGAAGTATTGTCACGAATTGGAGCGCACTGTACGTGCAATGTCTGTCATCCAAGAGCAAAGTTATCTCGAGTCGTTACACGTATGTCGCGCAGTACTCGGCCTCGACAAGGCGGTCTGAGCAATTAGATTGACCGCTCTATATGGTGCTCAACAAAAGGCATCCAATCTCCTCCTCCGATTCGCTCTGGAGAGTTGTCGCGGAAGGGTCACGTGCCTCAAGCCTTAGTTGCCTAGACGATGCAAACAGCTGCCAGCTCGGTACGCACTGACCCCCCTTGACGACTTTTGTCAAACAAACGGTCGTTGAGCTTTCGTCCACCTTTGCCGCACACCAGAACCTCTGACTACTGACAATTGCCGTGACGAAGGAGATCGGGCCTACTAAACAAGCAGAACAACTCTACTCGACAAGCATAGAAAGTATGCTCAGCCTATCGATTCCACGGCGCAATGCCGATGATGATCCCAGTCATGCATACATTTTCTCCATTGTGGAGAAATTGAAGCGGCTGGTATCATCATGAATTTGAACCTAACGATGTGAACTAGTACCAAAGCTCTAGAAGCAAAAATGGCAGCCACCGAGCCACGCAACGAGGCGGAACTTCGAATGTACCCGAAAGGAGTCCACTACCAGTCGTAAGACACAAGTCGTCACATCCACAAGGAAGGGAACTAACATACAACAGGTTCTTGAGACTCGTATGTGACGACGCCAGCCCAGGCTGGTGCTCAGAGCTCACCTCGAAAATGGTGCACCAGCTACCTCGGGAACTCCGCGATATCATCTACACGTACATCCTCGAGAGCCGGTGTATCAACCGTCAGCATCAAGTGCTCATGGTCAACAACCCTACGGACTGGAATCTTGCAGAGTTCACCAGTAACCCCAAGCACCTCGGTATCAGGAGATGTACCATCAAAGGCGTTGAGATTCCCCATTTCGCAGTGTACGAACACGTCGACGAGACCTACCGAATCGAGTTAGCAGAGACTTTATACCGCACCAAACTGCTTCGGGTGGCAGTGATGCACGAGCTCAAGTCTACACTGAACTACGACGTCCTCATCACTAGTTGCGACCCGAAGGAGCATATACGCCGCATCCAAATCGAGCTTAAATTCGACTGTGGCACCAAGACTCAAGCTCAATACGCCAAGCAGCTTGAACCCTTGTGGTACCTTCGTCATCTCAAACACCTCAAGGGAATGAAGGTGGGATTCATCGTCCACTTCATATACGATGACGTTCTCCCGCTTCTGGAGGAAGCTACAGCACCATTGGTTCAGCATTTGGCATCAGAAGGTGCGAAAGTGGGTTGGTACAGGAAGGGAAGGGGTAACGATGCGCCAAGCAAAGTTGAACATGGCGCCGCATAATGCAGCAGGGAACCTATGATTCACCTTTCCGCGTCAAAGTAGGAAGGAATTGAACACCGTAGAGCCTACATCAGCTTCAGCTCACCTACTTTGCATGTTTTAAATCTTGATGTAGTCTACAAAACTGTGTAGGGCTTTGCCTATATCAGGTATTTCTTAGCATGAATGCGGCACTTGATCGATAGCTACAAGGCAACCGGTCGTGTATTCAGACCCCTCCGCCCCACCCCAACACAACATACACTATCAGACCCAATACTGCATCCCATCCCAAAGCTTTCACTGCGTATCCGCCGTTTACTAAAGATCCCACGACGCTGCCAGGCGTGAGGTCCTTTCTCATCATCGCCGCATTTGCAACCGCAAATCCACCAGACACGGTAATACATTTAACAACATCTGCGTCCCTCAAGCTCATGGCCGAAAAGTGAGGAAGTAACAAAACGGCGCGAGTTACGAGAAGTAGACCGCTGAAGACTGAATTGGATCGTAGAGCTGGAAGTGCGAGTAGAGCCGCGTTGAGAAGAATGTTCGGGATTTGCAGTGTTGCTATAGGCTTGCGACGTTTGGGCGTAGCATCGGTTTTAGGTGCTCCTTTTGCGACTGCAATATCCGGAGATGAAACATGGAGTTGGATCAGGAATAGCGAAACTGTAAAGGAAATGGGTAGGATCTGGCCTAGCAGGATATATGTGCGCACCATCGACGTGTCGTATCTGCGCGTTCTCGCTATGTATACGTTAGTACCCTCTCACGCGTGTGTATCGAGAATTACCTACCCTTTTGCGCCATATAGATATTCCAAAACCACGTCGCCAGAATCGCTGCCTGCGTCCACACCGCGTTCGGCGCATCTTTGACCAGATCCTGCGCAAAATCTTGGAACAAGGTCGATTCTAACATCCATCTCTTCACCTTCCCCACGCTGACATTACTGAAGCTCCTGCTCTCATTTCCGCTCCATTCCAGGTAGTGCATGATCAGGAACATGAGCATGTGGTAGGACAACGTCGCGAAGCTAATCGAAGCGAGGAACGCGTAGATCTTGATGTGGCGCGCTCGCGCTGCCTTTGCTGCATTGAGCTTCTCATCTTTTGACGGGCTGGAACTGTTGAATATGGCCGAGTACTGAGAGTAGAGCGAGTAGCTGAGCTTGATGGTTGCGTAAAGTGCCGCGACGATGTAGGAGAGGAAGATGGTGGTGCCGATGTAGCTGTTTGGTGGTGTGGCGTAATACATCAGCGCGTCGTGCCCAGGGATCTCCATCTTGCGTGTTTATGCTGGCGAGGTATTATTATTGAAGGAACAACATCTGAGCGCTTAATGAGCGACGTATATATCATCGCGGCCAGACGCGAGGTTTCAAAAGTGTGCGATGATGCCTGACGTCATGACACAATTGGTGTCTGAGAAATCGGGCGACGCGACACTTCGGCGTCTTTCTCCTCCGTCAACCCACACGCGCGACATCACGAATTGCTGTTGCAGGCGTTCATCTTCGCGCGCTGTCCAGGAATCATTGCTTCAGCTATTTCTCGCGTTGCTTGATGGTCGCGCCGGGCCGCCCCCCGAATCTAGGATGCCTGACTACCTAGTTCAGGTAGCCATGGAGGCTACAACGCAGCACAAACTAACAACTCAACGACGTTACGCGGCATGTAGCCATCAGAGTGTGGGATGTGACTCATTCTGCAAGCTTTGAAAATCTCGAATGGTCGAATAAAACAAGTCCTAACTGTAAGGTACTTACCAGAAGAGAAGGGCTCGTCAATGGGAACAGCTTCAAACGTGTTACGGGGCTCTCAACACCATGATCCGGACCCTTTTGATGGTACGACCCCCGCAGTTTGTGACTCATGAGCTCGAAGTTTGGCACGACCATTGGGGGCCTATCATACCTCAGCGGTAGGAACTTCCCCACCCAAGGTTGTAACAGGCAGCAGCCGGCCGGTCAAGTATATCAGGAGTGTGCGCGCTGTTTCTTGAGAGACCACAACAACTTTACCTTTCAACTCATCAAACCTCGAACAAGAACAGCAATGATGCGCCACGTGTGCGGTTGTTACATCTCCCATCCCGGAACGCGGGAGCGAACATACCTCCCCCAGATCAAGGGCGACGCCCACACGACGATTATCTCCACGGCCGCCCGCACAACCTTGATGCAGACCTTCGTGAACCGGACCAACGAGTCATTGGATGAGATCCGATATGCCTTTCCGCTGTTCGATGGCGTCAGCGTTGTCGAGTTCTTCTGCCAGATCGGCGAGCGTACTATCTACGGCCTAGTCAAGGAGAAGAACGAAGCCAAGAAGACCTACGAAAAGGCCAAGGAGAGAGGCGAGGCCGCAGCGCTGCTTGAACAACTAGATGAGGCGGCGGATGTCTTCTCAACTGCTATCAGCAACATTCCAGGAGGCGCATCTGTGTATGTGTCCATCAAATACATCCAAGAGCTCAAGCACGATGCCGAAGTCGATGGAATTCGTCTTACCATACCTGCTTCCATCTCGCCCCGTTATGGATCCTATCCCGGAAAGCTCCAAGAGACATCAGCCGAGATTGATTCGAAGGGCATCTCCATTACCGTGGATGTCAAGATGGCAGACGGTATTCCTATCAAGAAGGTCATCTCGCCATCACATCCCATCGAAGTGACGCTTGGGTCGCTCTCAACAAGTACCATCGATGAGGACGCCTTGCTCTCGCAAGGTTCAGCCACGCTTTCCCTAGGTACCACAGGCCTAGACAAGGACTTCGTGTTACAGGTGGTTGCAAAAGACGTCGGCGTACCTCAGGCGATCCTAGAGACACACCCGACGCTCCCCAACCAGCGAGCATTGATGACCACGCTAGTACCAAAGTTCAATCTCAAGTCGCAAAAGCCCGAGATCATCTTCATCGCGGATCGATCGGGTAGCATGGGTGATCAGATCCCCACGCTGGTGTCGGCACTCAAAGTCTTCCTGAAGTCGATCCCTATCGGCTGCATGTTCAACATCTGCTCATTCGGCAGCAGCCACTCGTTTCTTTGGAAACAGAGTCAGTTGTATGGCCAAGATACACTGGAGGAGGCTATTCGACATGTAGAAGCGTTCGGGGCCGATTTTGGCGGGACTGAGACACTCTATGCGGTCAAGGCCTGTTTCGAAGCTCGTAACAACGAACTTCCTACCGAGCTCATGCTACTTACCGATGGCGACATCTGGGCTCAAGACCAGCTGTTCGATTACATCTCCAAGAACACGAAGAATGGCAACGTCCGTGTCTTCCCCATAGGCATAGGCGGAGGTGTGTCTAGTGCGCTCATTGAAGGCGTCGCGAGGGCCGGAAGAGGCTTCGCTCAGATGGTCGCAAATAACGAAAAGCTCGACAGCAAGATTGTTCGCATGCTGAAGGGTGCACTCACCCCTCATATCCAGGATTACCGTCTCGAAGTCAAATACGAAGATGACAGCGTGGAGTCTGTTGCCGACAGCATTCGTATCAACCTCAAGCTTGATAACGACAGCAGCGATGCAAAGCAAACAAGAGCCCCGGACGCCGACGCGAAGCCCATCTCACTCTACAATCCCGATCTAGAAGAGCAGCATCCCAAGGACGGCGAGTCAAAGGACATCTTCGCTGGTCTACCGGAGTTAAAGCGCCCAACGCTTTTGCAGACACCCCACGAGATACCAGCGCTCTTTCCGTTCAACCGTACCTGTGTCTATCTCCTCATGTCTCCAGAGTCATCACACCTGCAACCAAAGAGTGTTGTTCTCAAGGGCACCTCACCCCAAGGCCCGTTGGAGCTAGAGATTCCAGTAGAAGTACGCAAAGAGGCCGACGAGATGATTCACCAGCTTGCTGCCCGCAAAGCAACACAGGAGCTCGAAGAGGGTCATGGATGGCTATCCGAGGCTACCTTTGGCGATACTGACGTCATGCTAAAAAAACCCGGCTCTCATTATCTGTTGCTTCAGAGACGAGAGGCTGTTCGTCTTGGAGTCGAGTTCCAGGTCAGCGGCAAGTACTGTTCCTTCGTAGCCGTAGAGTCTAACGAGACCGAAATCGCCGAAAAACGCCAAAAAGCTCTGGAATCGATACTCAAACGGAGTGATCTAGCGGATGACGATGACTGGGAGGTCCTGGAGCATGGCCAAGCATGCAGATCACCGGTTACCACTTCGTATGGTGGCGATACACGATTTGCCAGTGGACCTGCATCTGCGTCGGCGAGGTCTGGATCCTTCGCTATGTTCCGTGGAGGCTACGGCGCCGGTCCCTTTGGCCGTACTGGCGGCGGGCGAGGCGGGCGAGGCGGCGGAGGCGGACAAGGCGGGCACTTCCAAGCCAGAAACATGGCTGCTGGCTCTGCACTATTTGGTATGAATAACGCAGTGGACGATTCCGACTCTGACGAAGACATGGGCTTTGGATGTTTCGAGAAAGCCAGTGCAGCACCCATGGCTCATCCTGGCCAACCGTCAGCGCCGCGCACTTTATCTTCCGCGCAAGTGTTAGAATCAAGGGGTCGGTTTGGTTCGTCGAAACGGTCGAGTCGGTCCGCCATGGGTCCCTCCTTCTCTCCGCCACAAAGGCAGAACGTACAGGAAGAGACTGGCACCCTCCTCCAGCGCCTCATCGCACGGCAGTCCTTTGAAGGGTCATGGGAAGCCATCGACAAGCTTCCGTTCGATGAGATGAAGCTCGACTGTGACGCCGCTAGCTCATCTAACGCTCAGCTCAACGAGCCAAACTCCGAGCAGCTTCTGGCTACTGCGATCGTAGTCCTGTTTCTGGAGAAGCAGATGCGGGACGAGGAGGAGACCTGGGAATTGGTCGTTGAAAAGGCGCGCGCTTGGCTTGGAAGCCAAGTGGCGGAGGAGGTGCTCGCCCGGGTATGGCAGCTGGCTGAGGGTGTTGTTGGAAAGGATTGAGTAGACACCCAGGACCCTAGTTTGACGTCAGATCACCTCACATGCATGCTTCTAGCTTGGGATAGGCTGTAAATCTGTTTAGCGTTCCCTTTGTATGGGTTCTGTGCGTGTCTGAGGTCACAAGAGAATGGCTGAATGCCTATCGGTACCGCCTACGTAGAAGTCATATCCTCACACAGCGTATGACATACTCGATAATGAAATATGCATAGTTTTGAGCATTTAATCACATTTTCAGTTATATTGATGCATATGGACTAAGCCCGGATATCAGCTTCGGTAGCAGTCGGCACTAGAGCCAAGCAAAGCTTTTGAAATTTCGTTAGCCAACTCTTTTGGATACAGCATCACGGGGATAAGATTGTTCAGCGTATCCGTTGCTTGAGTAACTCAGAACTAGTCGTACCGATATATTGTATTGTAAGAATGCATCACTGCTACGACTCATCCTTCGAAGCTTCCGTCATCCGCGCCAGAGTTTGCGAAACCTCACCCATTTGCGGCGCTCCAACGCCACTAGCTACCGGGTGTGTTATAACAGAGGTAGCCTGATATCTTCAAACGCTGGAATGTGCCGCGAATTCACGTCCGTGTTCCTGTACTTGTACGGCTCGGGAGCGCTAGCCATAAACGTGCTTGCCTGGAATCTGCTGAGCCTCAGATTCTTTCGCATTTGCAGTACCAGTGCTTGGATTGATTCTGCCGAGACAGGTTCGGAGACGATTGATCATGGTATGTCTAGTACTCTAGATGCTGATGATCGGCTATGCTTTGATTTATGGCGTCGTTTGGCGAGCTTTCAAGTACTTGTACGGTTGGAACAGCGCCGGGTGTCGATCGGTGTTTTAGTGGAAACCCAATATGAGGAGTTCAGAGGCTTCCGGAACTCTGGTGAGACGAAGGTTGTTGATACAAAGGTCGTTGAAACGCTGCTCGTGGGGAAGGCTTGGGAAGCGGAACAGACGCAGGGTCAGGTTCATCTGCGAGTACAGACTCTTTCCATACCGTGCATCGCGCAAGCGATGAGACGACCAGCAAGCTCGCTTCCATCTCTGTGATCGCCAATTGTGAAGCCTTGAACTTGTCCACGATGAGCTCTGGTTCGATCCACGCACTGCTCCCCTCAAAATCAACGTACCAGCTTTTCATTACAGGATCGTACTTTGGTTTCATCTCGTGGCACACCCCATCCATGAAGCCAGCCAATAATTCAGAGACGTGATTGGTCATTGTCCGCTTAGTGACAAGAAGATAACCGTATGAAGAGTTGTTGCCGACAGTAGAAGTTTCCGTGGCAGGCTGCATGTCCTCGATACTCATACCGCCAAAGAAATCACAATCCCGCCAAAGTGGGTTTCTCTCCATATTCCCTTGATGATAATTAAAAATATGGCCTGTAGTCGACAAATAGCTTATATGATAATAGCTTTCGTCAGTTGTGGCATGTTTGAGGTTAGCCACCAGAAACTCTCCCTTCCTTATCCAATCTTCTGTAGATTTCACCCTCGCAACAACACAGTGGGAACGAGGAGGCGAGCCATTTTTATACCTTAAAATCGATAGTAGGGCATGTAAGGTATTCCTGTTTAGCACCTTCTGCTCGCTCTCCCGAAAAGGATCATAGTTGAAGGACATTGTGAGCTTCAACCGGGAGCTTTGCAAACTAGAGTCAGTGAGACCACTGCTCAGCACTATATGCGACCACGTGATTGGCCTGCTCCGACTTTTATTACGTGGTTGAAACGATGTGACGAGTTCATGCATACTTGAGAGAAGTGCCTGTGCCTGTGGAAGAAGATCATCATCTGTCGTCGACAAGGACAGTAACTTCCGCCGCAGCCGAATCCTCGGGTCATCGTTGGAAATCATTCCTGTAACGGGTACAGATCGTGTTTCTGGCACTGAATTGCAAAGTTGGAATACTGGGGCAATTTTTGTTGGCCAGGGCTTCTTTTTGGGAGGCCATCCGTTCCGGCAAGCCGTACCGAGGGAGAGCGCTATCCAATTTGGGTCAGAATCTGGTAGCTGGAAAGTGATGGGCTGGTTTGAAATTCCTCTGCGAACCCAAGCTCTGATACAAGTCATCAGAAGCGTGATACCAAGCTGTATGACTGTAGCGGACCAATGCAGCGCTCTTAACCCAACAAACTGGCAAACGAATCCAACGAAGCAAAGGATCACAGCAACAATGACCATCGACTTCTGAGCTATGGTACTTGACTTTCCTGTCCGATCCGTAGACAATCTCAAGACACTGTCCCGGCGACTCATAGGTGAGTCGTATGAGCTAGACTCAGAGGAGCCGCCTTGTGTGCCGGACTCAGAGGAATCGTCTTGCATACCAGCCGTTCGGTTGTGCTGATCATCATTTTCGATTGTTTCGTCTGGATCATATCTTGAAGTGCGGATCTTCTTGTCTTCAGCATGGTTCAAGATGACGTATGCTTTGAAGGGCTGATCACCGATGTTTTGTTGCACTTGCAATCGGAATATATTTTCCACCACATAACCGACCGTTGGTGTGAACACCTGCTCGACAGTCGTTGCCTCGATAATGTACGAGCATAGTGCTATGCTCACCACGAGTAAGCATGTTCCTAGCAAGAAAGTCGGATATGCGTAGTCTTGAACGGGATTTGAACCCTTCGGTTGTCTCCAGTGATAGGTCATGATTGCCGGTATTGCCATCGCAACGAGTTGCAGAGCCACTCCAATCATTACCAAAGCCCATAGCTCTCCACTCCTTGGAAACGTATTGTGTACGTTAAGTATTAGGTTCGGCGGCTGGTTGGCGAGCTTTCTGACAAGACGCTGTGCAATGTCAACCATAGTGTCCTTTTCGGCGATCATGAGATCGGTTATGCTCCTTCCCATGTAAGTCTTTCCATCCAAATGATGCGGTTTTTGACTCCATGCATCTTTTTCAGCATTTGATCCAGTGCGCTCGGTGAGCAAATCAATCTCAATGCGTTCTGCAAGCTCGTCCAACCGTGCCTCCGCTTCCGCAATTCTCGCATTCTTCATAGCGATGTCCTCGTGCAATCTAGTGAGATCCTTCAGAGTCCCTGTTTGGCTTGGAATCGACGAAGCCGACCGGAAGATACTCTCAAACTTTCCTGCCAAAGCTTTGAACCTCCTTGAACGGCCAGCTTGGGCAGGGCTGAGAACCCCTACATTGTAGGCTTCACTGAGATCGCCCATTCGAGTGTCGCTTAGGGCTTCAAGCTGTGTTCCATCCTGGCTTGAGGCCATCTTGGCCGACTTGCTCTTATAGGCTACCATTTCAAGGATCGTAGCATGACCTGGTTGGCGAACGATTCCTTCCTCGGTCCAGAGTTCGGAAGTGGCATCTGATGTCGAAGACAGTAGCTCTAGCTCTGCTGTCGCTAGCTTTTCTCGTGCGCTTTTGACCTATGTTAGTAAGAGCACTAGCCTAAGATGAATCTCACTTACCGTCCAATTATGGCTTTCAGAACTCTGACGTTTGAAACTCGGACTGCGGAAACTACCGTGGTGATGATTCCCAGTGGGCCGACAGCGAGCAGGATATGATCAGCCCATCCGAGCGACATGCTGAGAAATTGTTTCGTGACCTGTTCTCCGAATAGCGTCAGGAGAGGTGCCAGATCACTGCCGAGATTGTTGATGAACTCTTCACCAGCGAAACCGGAGGAGAGAGTGGGTGTGGTATCGATAGGCATTGCGGTAGGCGTGCCGCTGGCGGTCGAGGTAGTCGCGGTCGGCGCCATGACCTCGACAACAGCGAAGGAGGAAGTGACGAAGGACAGCCGAAGTATGAGAGAGCCACGCTGGTGCCTCTTTCCGCAGCCAGGTAAAAAGCGGCTGGGCTATTATGCAAAGCGGAAATGCCGCAAGGCTGAGCACGAGAATCCCAGCAACGACGCTGGCGAGGCGGTTTGACTGACAGCGACGCGCCTGAGAGTCCTGGGCTACTACACCCTCAGTTGGCGTTGCCTCAATTGTAACCTGGGAGTCTTCCGGTATTGTCTTGGGGATGTTAGGGGAGCATCGATTGAGAGCAGGCAGGACGAAAGAGAGTTGCAGGGCTCAGGCTAAGAGTTCATTAATGTCAGCTATAGCTGAAGCGAAGGTGCATGAGACAGGTTGGCATCTCAACGAATAAGACGTCAAGCCACGTCTGACAGCAGGCGCTTATCGCTGCGCTGCGGTGAGGAAGGGGCGGACGGGGCGGACGTCCAATTTGGACCAACCTCGGGATGTGTCATCTTTCAAAAGCCAATAGAGTATGCAGATACACCAGGGGCCTGTCTTCTTTGGTATACGACGTGAGTGTGATTACTTGGGGTTGTGATTCGGTTAGCAGGGGCCTGTCAGCGGGGTCTCAATCATCGCAGCTTTGCATGTCATCGTCTTGAAGATGATTGATTCAATAGTCTATAGTCTTCTTGATCGCATCGTAGACCCCTGTCAAAGTCAGTAAAATAGAGCAAGCACATGTCGTAACATCGCAACTTACTAGTAACATCGGGAATGACGAACTGCTCAAACATGAGCCCAGTATGTGTCGCCCACCCAGTCACCCTCTTGACGGGCGCCTCTAATCTAAGGAAAGCCTTCTCCTGAATTGTAGCAGCGACCTCAGCGCCAACACCAGCATTCATCATACTCTCGTGTACTACAATCGCCCGTCCAGTCTTCTTCACGCTTTCTAGAACCGTCTCTCGGTCCCAGGGGTATATCGTCCGCAGATCTATCAGCTCCACACTGCATCCAAAGTCCTTCTCTGCTGCTGCTATCGCGGCTGAACATGTGTATAGTGGTGTGCCGTATGAGACGATCGTGACGTCCTTGCCTGTCTTGAGGACTTCAGCCTTGTCGAGCGGGAGGTAGAACGCATCGACGGGTACGTGCTCGACAGCAGCGCGGTATAATATCTTGGGCTCCATGAATATGACGGGGTCTTGACAGCGTATCGCGGAGAGGAGGAGGCCTTTGGCCTGGACGGGTGAGCGGGGTATTACGACACGTAGACCGGGCGTGTGGGTGAAGAGGGCTTCTGGGGACTGTGTGTGGTATCTAGTGACGTGTCAGTCGATTTCAAGAGGGAGCACTGCTGGAGTCATACAGTGCGCCATGTCCAACACTGCCTGATGGCATGCGGATGACTAGTCCTCCACAGTTTACGCCAGTGCTCCCCGACCGGTATCTGTACTTGGCCGCTTCATTGTGTATTTGGTCGAAGGCGGGGAAGACGTAATCGGCGAATTGGACTTCTGCTACTGGCTTCATGCCCTCTGCAGCGGCTCCAATAGCAAATCCCACCAGGCCCTGCTCGCTCAAGGGAGTGTTGAAGACGCGTTCGGTGCCAAAGTCCCCAGCCAAGTTCATGGTACACCGGAAGACACCGCCAAATTGTACGTCTTCTCCAAACACCATGACGCGTTCGTCTGTTTGCAATGCATATCGCAGGGCTTCGTTGACGGCGGTGTAGAGGTTTATGCGCTTCGTCTGACCCTTCTGTATATCTGCAGGGAACTCGGGGTTCGCAAGGGAGGATTTGGCGGTGTGGTGGAGAATGGGCGTTGCATCGTACTCTACTGTGCCATTGAGGCGTGCGCCAGGTGCTGCCGAGGAGTACTGTTTGCGTTGAAGGTGGTGTTGACAGCGGGGCCGGAGTGGTGCTTGCGGGCGAAGCAGATAGCGCGACAATGCGCGGATGGATGGTGTTCTAGCAGCCATGTCTATGGAATTGAGAGCAACGAGTTTCCCCAGAACCCCAGAAAAGGTACATGCAATAAAGTCATGCTGGGCACAAACATGTGAGCCGACGGTTGTGCGGGTGTATGCCGCGGCTACCAGCGGCTCTCCAGGTTTCAAACGTTGCGGAGTTTAGCGGGCAAGCGCCGAGAGAGGAAGGTGCGAGCACGTGATGTAGCTGCGAGTAACGTGACTCGAAGCTTGCCAAGGCTGGAGGCGCTGCATAATGACGATTGACGCCAGAATGGTTCGCACGGCAGGTGGAGACTAGCGCGTCCAAACTTCGATGGTTTGCGACAAATTCCCTAAATCACTGTGCGATTGTGATACAGAGGGCTTGCGATTGTCTATGATTTGGGTATACTGCAGAGTATGGCACAGACGGCTACGATCGCAGGAAGGCGGCACCGTGTTGGACTTGGCGCCTAGTCTTGAGCCTGGGGAAAGCAATACAGGCTAGCGGGAAGAAGCCTCGCCCCGGGGTCAACTTTGTGTCCGGCCCCTTGTACCGAAGACGCGTACACATGCTGTGATCAGAGGCAGATGCTATTGCGTGGTAGAAGGACAGGCTGCTGTTAATTACGCCGGGTGTATACAACGGGCTGAGGTCTGACACAATAAGACTGCACGCGCCTTTGTCGCCTTTGGGAGGCTGCATCATACGTCTAGATCCCGGCCGTGCGCAGACCCACCAAACCGCTGCTTCCGCATCATTATTTGCGCGCCCACCACAAACCTTGGAATCCACCTCTCTCGCCAGTCCATCTCCCCGACTCGGACACTCTTCATCTTCCCGCACTGAGGTGCTTCCCATGGCAATGAGCGCCCCTCGACCTCGCGCAGCTGCCAATGGCTCCATGCGGACTGCTCGCCTCGCCTTCATCGGCCTCTTCCACGCCTTCGCGCCCATGGTGACCGCGTTGCCCATGCCCTTTGGCGACGCGACCTTCAAGACCGCTGGGGAGGAGGTCCCAACGGACAACGATGGAGAGCGCTGGCTTCTCCTGGGTATCGCCGTCGCGCTTGTCTTGGCCGGTGGTGTGTTTGCGGGTCTGACCATTGCGTGAGTACATCGCGGTCCCGCCATCGTGTCACAACGCGCTAACAGCGACTTTCCAGCTTGATGGGCCAAGACGAAATCTATCTCCAAGTCCTTGCTTCATCCGGCGAGAAGCACGAGCGCAAGAACGCGGCCAAGGTGCTGAAGCTGCTCGAGCGAGGCAAGCACTGGGTTCTGGTAACGCTACTCCTGAGTAACGTCATTACCAACGAAACCCTTCCTATAGTCCTGGACAGGTCCCTCGGCGGAGGATGGCCTGCCGTTGTCAGCTCCACGGTCCTCATTGGTATGCGCACCCTCTCTCTCACCTACTCTGTTTACGTCTAACACGCCTCAGTCATCTTCGGTGAAGTCGTCCCTCAGTCAATCTGTGTGCGCTATGGTCTGCCAATCGGCGCCATCATGGCACCCATCGTCCTCGGCCTCATGTATATCATGGGCATCGTCGCCTGGCCGACTGCCAAACTCCTCGATTACCTCCTCGGAGAAGACCACGGTACCGTTTACAAGAAGGGTGGCTTGAAGACACTTGTCAGCCTGCACCAGTCGCTCGGACTCGAGCACGAGCGCCTGAACGAAGATGAAGTCACAATCATCACCGCTGTGCTGGACCTCAAGGCCAAGGCTGTCGGCAACATCATGACGCCCATGAAGGACGTCTTTACCATGTCGTCCGATACCATCTTGGACGAGAAGATGATGGACAACATCCTTTCCGCTGGCTATTCCCGTATTCCCATCCACACCCCCGAGAATGAGAACAACTTCGTCGGTATGCTTCTGGTCAAGATGCTCATTACGTACGACCCCGAGGATGCTCTACGCGTACGCGACTTTGCTTTGGCCACCCTACCCGAGACACGCCCGGAAACGAGCTGTCTTGACATTCTCAACTTCTTCCAGGAGGGCAAGTCGCATATGGTGCTAGTCTCTGAATTCCCTGCTGAGGCACGCGGCGCCGTCGGTGTTGTTACTCTGGAGGACGTCATCGAAGAATTGATCGGAGAGTAAGTCGTGCATCCTCGAAAAATACTCTGGCGCCTACATTGTCGCCGGATCTTCCAACCAAGTTTGTACTAATGAGACCAGGGAAATTATCGACGAGTCCGACGTATTCATCGACGTGCACAAAGCAATCCGACGCATGGCCCCCGCCCCTCGCGCCCGCGTTCCTCGAGGCAAAGTCGTGACCGATATTCCCCGCAAACCTTCCGAGGCACAAGCTGTAGACTCCGAAACAGACGCGGAGCAGAATGGCAAGCCGGCGCCACGCAAGACCTCTCTACCTGAGATGCCTGAAGGCCACCCGAAGCCCTCTTTCCTCCTTCGTCGCCGTAGCAGCGGTAGCAAGGGAGCCGGTTCACCTCTTCGCAGCGACGATCCGACCGTGATGCAGCACCTGAAGCATCTCGGCCCTTCGAATGTCGCCACTAGGCCCAAGCAGACTCGCATCAACACTGTCAAGATCAAGCCTGGCCAGACAGCTTTGACCCCTGACATTCCCAAGACGATACCGGAAGACTCCCAGGCTCCAACCGAGGCAACTCCTACTGAGGGTGTAATAACTCAAGATTCTCATGCGCCTGAGGGTGGCATTGGTGAGGGCTTGCTAGCATCGGCAGGTCGCGAAGCCAGCGACGGCGTACACAGCGTAGCGGTGGGATATGGCACCATGGCTCCTAGTGGCGACCGCATGTCGTGGAGATCTGGCCGATCAGGTATGAGGGAACACGATGACGAACCTACGTCTCCGAAGGGTGGTGCGAACGAAGACGACGAAAACACCCATCTCTTGGTCGACAACCGCAACGAGGACGGCGAGACGAACAGGTCACGGGCACGCTCGGTCAGCACCATTGCCTCTCTGCGCTCGATGCGCTCGCGCTCGCGCAGTCCCTTGAAAAAGCGACACACTGCTCGAAGCGGTAGCATCTCTGAGAACGTTGTCGATGTCAATGGCATCAAGAAGATCGTCTTGGAGACTACCAGTTCCAGCGACTCGGAGGAGAAAGCGAACGGCAGCCAAGTCGATGGTCAGGATGGAGAGAAGCACTCTGAAGCCGAGTCTTCGCATGCCGGCGGCAAAGGCGCAAGCAAAAAGAAGAGGAAGAAGCGAGGTAAGAAGAAGAAGGGTGGTGCTGGCGACAGCCACGAATCACAACCTCTGCTCGGAGACAGGTAACCTCATTACCCGTTTTGAGCATGTTGTTAATCCCGGTTTCTACAGAGGTCATGAGCGAAATCGGTGCGAATGCGAGTGCGAAGTTTCTCAGTCATTTCGAGTCTGGCAAAATTAATTGGCATGCATTGGCGTCTTCTCCTTCTTCTCCTTCGATGTTCAACGGGAAAATGGATGAGAATAATGGGCATTGTTAAGGACTGGTATCTTTCAGAGAAGTGTATTATAAAAAGCTGTGTCGTTTCTTGGACGATAGGTGTCGTCTGTGGGCTTGAAATATATATCTTGTAAGCTCGTGTACCCTGTCGTTTCTTTGATTACGCGACATGACATATCAAAGTTGTCTTGGCATCCTCAACAATGATCGTAACATTACGTCCCAACGCGAGATCTGCCTCTTACCACCAGTCTAGTCCGACCAGGGATCATAATTCCTATCCCCACAATCCCCCGCTACATCCGACCACGTCAACACGTCTTCATCATCCTCAAGGCACCCACACCACCCCGGTCTCGAAGCCGACGGACGGAACCCCCTCGAACTAATCCCCTTCTTGACACTAGTCTTCTTGCTTTTGCCGCCGTAGTACTCCTTCCTCTTCCTCTGCCCCCACATTCTCAACTTATTCGGCTGCTCAATACACCACAACACTACCTCCCTAGCCGCACACGCATGTTCAACAGAATCATGGCCTACTTTGTCACCACCCTGGATTTTGATGTCGAGCAGTTGGCTGGCTAGGTCTTTGAGTCCCCATCGTCTCTTCACACCCTTTCCCACGGCTTCGGCGGCTAGGATTGCTGAATCGACGATGCGGTCGTGTCGGATGCCCAGGGCTAACAGGTCATGCTGCAATGCATGGCCGACAAGAACAGTGTTACTATTGACATACTTGAACAGCTCCTCCCGTGCTTCGGCTGATCCTCTCAGCGCTTTCCCCTTCAACACCGCAGTCGCCATAGCCTGTCTTGTGATCCCGCTGTACTTCGTTCGCCAGTCTGTGACAGATTCGGTTGGCTGAACGAGCGTATCGATGAGTATCTCGTTGGTGAGGTAGTCGATTACTGAGATGCGGGCTAGAGTAGACGCGTTGTTCGGGTTTATGCCAACCATCTCACAGTCGATGGCTATGGCTGCGCGCTTCGGGCTGGTTTGATAAGGGATAGGTAGTGTGGTTCCGAATTTGTATTCGTTGGCTGTCAGAACTGGACGCGCGTGGCAGTGTAGGATGAGCGCGGTAAGTGCTGCGGGTTGTTTGCTGTCTGGGATGACTGTCCAATCAGGGATGGGGTGTGTCCTGGGAGTTTGCGGTTTTGTGGTGGTGGCTTTTGGTTGGGGAGCTTCTGGCTGGGGAACTTTTGGCTGGGAAGCTTTTGGCTGGGAAGCTTTTGGCTGGGGAACTTTTGGGTTCGAAGCTTTTGGATTGGGGACTTGTGGTTTCGGAACTTGTGGTCTGGCAACTTGTGGTTTGGAAGCTTTTGATCGTGGTGTGGTTCTCTGTTGAGTACGCTCCTTGATGAATGTAATCTGTTTGGATGGTCGCGGCGTGGAAGACACATCTTGGGCATTCGACCACGAAGGTATCCTTATATGACATGAAGACTCAGGGTCTGTCGCGAGAGTAGTCCAAGCCATTGTCGTTGCTTTCCCGACACGAGAGACTGCGAACTCGGCGTTCTTCGTAGAAATTGTGCCCGGAGCATCGATCACCTGCAGAGTAGAAGTGCTGTCACTCGCAGTGGTAGGTACCGCATGCTTAGACCTAGAGTGATCTGATAAGGCTATGGCACTGGCGAATGCTTTTGTACAAGAAGTACATGCGAATGCTGATGAAGCAGGTTTGGAGCTCTTCTTTGGTGCCATTGGAGTGATGTTTTCGCATCAACGATAACAACGTGGAAGTTTACCCCGTAGTTTTGCTTTCAAGGAGGAACAAAGGTTATCGTGAGTATAAATGATAGCGGCGGAACGGGCTGCTGGTGATACCTCCCAGGCTTCCATGCTGTGTAACAACGGAGGGCAACGCAGCCTACCCCGCCCACTCAGTGTTCGCCACGTCGGTCCATCGTTCATGCGCCTGGTACTCATTGCAGCGATCAGACGTTTGCATGGTAGTAGATAAGCCGTTTTCTGCTTGTGTGTATGATCCTAGTGAATTCGCTGGGAAGCACAGGAATTCTAGTGAGAGCCTGAGGTAGCATTGCCTCATGGCGCTTTCGCGGGACTAAGTTGACTTGCTTTGAAGCTTCGGTGCGATCACTAACGAAGAGTATGGGTATCAGCATCGAAGCAAAGTTCGATCAGCGTGCATCCTTCGTGCGGGTGGGAAGGCGCGTTGCGACTGTCGGTGGCGCCATTCCAGAAGAGGAAAGGTCTCACAGCGGATACGGGTTACGACCGAACTTGGGAGCAACTTCTCAGTGCAGTGAACAGTCCGAACTTCGAACCACATCGTCAACGTCGTTCTAGAGCCACGGCAGCTCCAATGACAATAATTTCGCTCAGCCAAGTTAGGACAGTAGGTGATGATCGATAAGAGAACGTTGCACGTCGCAGCTCGCGTCGTCATCTCCAAGCCCCGCGTAAGGCGAGCAATTGCGCAAGGCGCCCAGCGGCATGGCCACTCAAGCACCAGCCTTACCATCGCGAGGTACCGCCGGCATTATTCCAACAACTGCTTGGTAATTAGGGAAGATTTTCGTCAATCAACAAGGATCGCGTGGGTGTCCTGAAGCTTGCGTTGATGCTTATCAAGCTCTATATAGTGTCGCAGCCCCCCGCGAATATCGTGCTACACTACGAGCTCGTAGAACGCAAAAATGTTCTCCGCCGCCTCTTCGTTGCTATCCTTGTTATTAGCATACTTTGTCTATATAACAACTTACAGAGTCTTCTTCCACCCGCTACGCAACGTTCCCGGTCCCTTCTTTGCACGATTCAGTAAGCTATGGCTTGCATGGCACGTCCGAAAAGGACAAGCACACGTCCACTTCCCCAAGTTGCACGCGCATTATGGACCGATTGTGCGCATAGCACCCGACCAAGTCCTAGTGTGTGACGAAAACGCCATCAAAACCGTCTATGGAGCAGCGACGTCGTTCACGAAAGGGGATTGGTACCGCATAGCTGGCGCACCTGACAAAAGCCGGAAACCTGCTGAGGAGGTTCTCGATATGTTGACGGAAACCAACATGGAGAAGTATCGCAGACAAAGAAGAGCCATTGGACCAGCTTACAGCATTGCGGGACTAGAAAGACATGAGGAGCTGCTTGATAGCTACGTCAGTCAGTTTGTTGGCAGGCTGAAAGAGTTTGGAGGAAAACAGTTGGATCTCGCGGAGTGGACTCATATCTTCGCCTTGGAGTCCATGAGCCAGTTTACTTTAGGCAAGAGACCAGGATACACAGAGAAGGGCAGTGACGAAGGGAACGCAGATGCCAGTGATGCGTTATGGGAGTGCTTTACCGTTATTGGTATCTTCCCAGGCTTCGTAAAGCTGATGCATGCGATACCGAAAGTCGGCATGTTGCTCGTCCTACCAGCTAGCTTATTCCTGGGTGTTAGACTACCGAAGGTCTGGCCCGTCTTCAGCTTTTCTGCTCCAAACATCATGCAAAGATTGAAAGCATTGGAAAGCACGAGGGATGTCAAGTTTCCAGGGGACCGTCCGGGCCTCTTTCATGATCAAGGCACAGATGTGGAGACATCAGAGCAACAAGGGGACGGCATTGAAGAGACAGACATGCTGGCTACTTTGATGCGCCTTCATCACGACAAAGAGGCGCGTTTCCCTCCTTCATGGGTTCTCTCAATCGCACTTACCAATTTCGGCGCCGGACACGATACACTCATGTTTACACTTTCTTCGGTCATGTACCATATGTTCAAGTCGCCAGCCATCCTCGCCCGCTTACGCAAAGAGATGGAGAGCCAGGGTGTCACAAAGCATACCAAGTACTCCGAAATGATTCAGAAGGTACCGCTGTTCCTGGCCGTCATGAAAGAGAGTATGAGGATTTGGCCAACGCTGGGATGGTACATTCCTCGCCTCGTACCTGCCTCAGGAACTACATTATGCGATACCTATCTTCCACCTGGTACTACAGTCGGGACTAACCTCTGGGCCTCACACTTTGACCCCAAGGTGTTCGCAAATCCCCATGATTTTGACCCAGATAGATGGCTATCCGGTGGCAGCGAGGAAAAGATGAGGGAGATTGGTAGAATGGACAGTATGTGGATGGGTTTCGGGGGCGGAAGTAGGAGCTGTCCTGGACAGCATCTAGCGAGGTTCTTCGTTGTCAAGACATTGGCTCGATTGGCCATGGAATGTGACATTGAGCTGGACGGCGAGCCAGAGATTGGAGGTTGGTTCCAGTGTACGATGAAGGGTGTCGGGATGAGTGTTAAGGCGAGAAAGCTGTAATGATAGGTTTGCTGATCAATCGCGTAGTACATGTGGGTGATTATCAATCTGATGCCGAGACCAGGGCGATTGTTGTCTTCCCTCTCTCACTTTGCGGTGTTTACTCATCCTTATTCCGCTGCGTTCCGGGGCACTACCACCCTATGCGGCAAGACTGGCCAAGTTGGTCCGAAGCTTATATCAAAGTCATGAATGCTTTCTCAAACCCCCCATGTATTCTGCGTAGATTGAATAGCATGCTTGCAACCCCTTGCCTATATATGCGGCTCACAGCGATGCGCGATCTCCCCAGATCTCGCTTCGCTAGCGGCGGGAGTGCCTTGCGCTAGATTCCACCAAGCTGGCTGGATGCAAACGTCATGACTTTGGACGTTGCGAGATCGTCGCGTGGACGTCACAGCTGTCATAGCTCCAGATTTCTTTTCGTAGAGCTTAGGTAAATCGCTCAATCTAGCCCTGGTCCTTTCAATCTTCTGTCTTTGAACATCTACAACCTCAATCCATCCCTCACCCTCACACAGACCTGACTTCATACACAATGGCCAGCAGGACCTTCACACCAATGCTCCGCCAAGCGGTCCGCGTCTCGCAGCGGAATGGCATGGCGGCACCTTGCCGTCGCTTCTTGAACACTGAGTCTGCGCCCAGCCTCTACTCAGCAAAGGCGCACGTAGTCGGCGCACGCACAGGGTATGATAATCGATGCTATTGAACGCACAAGGACGTGTGCTGACAACCCTTCAGACACGTAGATGGCGAGAACCTAAAGGTCGACCTAACAATGGCCAAAGCCCTCGGCGGCCCCGGCGACGCCGGAAAGACCAACCCCGAAGAACTCTTCGCAGCCGGCTACGGTGCATGCTGTACGTCTCCATCCCCTCCCCATCCCATACCAGGACTCCAAAACGCACCCAACTAACCCCACTAGTCCAATCCGCCATGAACGCCGTCGCCCCCTCTCTTGGCGTCAAGATGCCCTCCACCCCCGAAGACTCGATCGTCGAATCCACCGTCGAACTCGTCGGAAGCATGAAAGACCTAGACATGGGCCTGCGCGTCCAGCTGCTCGTCAAGGTACGCGGGCTGGCGAAGGAGGATCTGGAGAAGGTTGTGTACAAGGCGAGGCAGGTTTGCCCGTATAGTCGGGCGACGAAGGATAATGTTTATACGACTGTTAGGTGTGAGACTATGTAGGGAACTCATAGATTCCAGGAGTTCTATACAGGCTATGTCGATGTTGAGAAGATGTAATGAATGAATAAATGCATTACGGAAGTATACTAAAGTCGAGTTTCCTGCGAGCTCTCCACAATAGCAGCCAACACCCCCTCAGCCACATCTTCCCCATCCTCCGCTTCAGTAACCCACGCCACCCGACCACTCCGTGGACTGCGTACTTCTAGTTCCATCTTCATTTGTTGGACAACGCAGATCACGTCTCCTTCTTTCACCACGTCACCCTCATCAACTAACACTTCTACCAGTTTTCCTGGGAAGGGAATGCTTATGTGCGAAGGATCAGATGCATTCCCGCGTCTATGATGCGACGTCGCTGCTGATGCGCTAGCGGAGGTGGAGGAGAGGGTTATGGTGTAGGGTGTTGTTTGGGGCGTGGTAGATGAAGCTGTCGAGGGCGTGGTAAAGAGGAGTTCTGCGCTCAGAGACGTGGGGAAGTCGTTGCGCAAGACGCGGGTTAGTTCGAGATGGTGGGGTGGTGGTTTCTCATCGGTCTTCATGGTGGGGGTAGAGATCGAAATGGACCAAGCGTCGCCTTTTCGGAAGAGGGTATTGGCTGTCGAGACCGAGGCTGTCGAAGAAGATGGCGCAATGTGTGTGAGGGTATTTGGGCTGGCTGAAGAGATATTCTGGCTTGATTGAAGGAGCTCGGTTTGTTTGCTTTCTAGCCATTGGGTGTCGCATTGTCCGTTTAAAAAGTCTGGGTGTGCGACTATGGCTTTCAACATGTCGATGTTTGTCTTTACTCCTGCGATCTGTGTATCAACCAACGCTCGCTGGGCTTTACGAACGGCGTCTTTCCAAGATGAAGCTGCTACAATGACCTTTGCGATCAGACTGTCGAAATCTGCGGATACCACGGCGGGTCGGCCGCTGATGAGATGTGTGTCAACCCTAATACCGTTACCCGAAGGGAACTGGAAAGAGGTGATCTTGCCAATTGACAATGACCAGTCACTCTGAACATTTTCCGCTGTGATACGCAGTTGGATTGAATGCGCTGGAGGAGGCACTTCTGGATCTCGTTCGGCTGTTGGTAGACCGCAGTCATTCAGAGATGCACCTTGGGAGAGTAGTAGCTGTGCCTTGACGATATCAGTCATAGAGATGGACTCCGTGATTGTGTGCTCGACTTGTAAGCGAGGGTTGACCTCCAAAAAGTAGTACTTTTCTGTTGATGGGTTCATGAGGAACTCAAAGGTGCCGAGGGAGAAGTATTGTATCTATGCATATATTAGTAAGACGGAACCGAGATCAGCATTCATGCCTACATGTTTCGCCATTGTCAGAGCGTTTTCGATGACTTTTGCGATCAATCCTCTGTTAGACACGACACTGGGTGCTAGCTCAACGATCTTTTGATATCGTCTCTGGATGCTGCATTCGCGTTCCCAGAGGTGCGTTACGTTTCCGGTACCGTCCCCAATGATCTGTACTTCGATATGCCGGAAGCCATCGACTGCAGCCTTCTCTGCAAAGACTTGCTTGGATGGGCTTTCTTCGACTGCTCTTTTCACTAAAGAAGCAAGCTGGTCTTGGCTGCGAATGAGACGTATTCCGCGGCCACCGCCTCCATCTACTGCTTTTACCATGATTGGAAAGCCGACATCAGATGCGAAGCGCTGGACGTCTTCGACTTTGTTAGTCGGTTTCTGGAGTGCTGGAGATACTGGGACGTCGCCTATTTTATGTGTCAGTAATCTCGCGACTCTAATGCGCCTTTTGTCTTACATTGTTGGGCAAGCTCTCTCGCCTTGAGTTTATCTCCAGTATTACTCAAGATACCCCACCCAGGGCCAACAACTACTGCGTCGGTTTCTTCCCAGATTCTCTTCGAGAATTCTTCTGACTCTGACAGAAAGCCGTATCCTGGATGTACCGCATCGATTTGGTGCTTTTTGACGATGTCGACAAGATCATCAATACTCATGAAGGATGAAGCTGATGATAGTTTAATCGCATGGCTTGCTCGAACGGCATGCGAGTCGTCGCCTGATACGTAGATTGCAAACGTCTCAATGTCAAGTTCTCGAGCTGAAGAGATGATTCGTGTTGCTATCTCTCCCCTACCGACAGTTAATCACGCTTTCCAGAATACTACTTGGCTACTAACCTATTCGCGATGAGAAGTCGCTTGATGGGTCTTTGTGGAGGCCGCGTCATATTGGAGTCCAGCCAGCAGTATGGATCGGTCAAGCAGTACATTCGTGGATATACCTGGGTACCTCACTATACCATCAGTGGAATGACTCGAGTGGACGAGTTGTTGGATCAGGTAGGCGGGATCACGTTATCCGTCGTCAAGGAGGCTTTATGGGAGCTGGAATGCGATTTGGGTCGAATGTTAAAGCGAGATGCTTGTTGAACATCTGATTCAACCACAATGACATGGTCGCGTTCTGGCGGAGTGCGATGGAGGAGGGCAAGCGCGGGGAGCTTTGAGATGCCTCGGTTCCCCAGCTCTACCCCAACCTTCCACCACGACCATCCCATCTTGGTCCGAATCATCGAGATGTGACTATTTCGTTGTCGCTCCATCACTGGAGCTCGAAAACAACCTTAATTACACTTCATCAACAGTCATGGCTGGTGACGAGCCCGGACCAAAGCCCTCGCCCAAAGACGCGTCGACGTCATCCGAAACCGCCAAAGACCGACTCGCGCAGGTCAGCTCCCACATCGCGCCCAACACACCAAAGCGACGACGACGGAAAGTAGCAGACTTAGATCTGCCTGCTGATTACTCAGACATCCTTGGGCAGATCGCGACTCTGCGCAAAAGTGCCGCGACGCCCGACAAGAACAATAGGGGCTACGTGAGGCAGAAGCAGGCAGGAAAGCTATGGGTGCGCGAAAGGGTCGAGCAGCTGCTTGATCCGGGGAGCTTCCAGGAGGTGGGCAGCGTGAGTGGGACAGTGAAGTGGAAGCAATTGGGGCCGGTGAAAGAAGAGCCCGGAGACTACGTGCCTTCGAACAACGTGCAGGGTATGTACTATGGACGGCATTGGGGAGATGTACTGACGGCGGGTAGGCTTCGGACGACTACGAGGTCGAAAGATTGTCTTCACGGCCGATGACTTCTCCATACGCGCTGGACACGCTGATGGCGCGCTTATGGAGAAGACCGTTAGTTCGATTCATTGCATCGATCCGTGCTGGTACTGACGACTGCAGATATATATGGAGAAGCTCGCAATCGCGTTGAAGCTTCCCATCGTCAAACTCGTCGATGGCTCATCCGGCGGCGGCTCCGTCACGACCATTCGCTCCACAGGCTTCTCCTACGTCCCTCCGCTACCCTCCTTCGCACAAGTCGTACAACAGCTCAACATGGGAATACCGAATCTGGGCACGGTTTGTGGACCGGCGATTGGTCTAGGAGCAGCTCGTGTGGTGGCCTGCCACTTCTCGGTCATGGCTGCAGATATCGGATCTTTGTTCAACGCCGGTCCCAGTGTTGTGAAGAGCGCGACATTCGAGGAGGGTCTTTCCTTTACAGATCTTGGTGGGCCCGCAATGCATTGCACCAATGGCACAATCGATAACCTCGCACCGGACGAGGCAGGCTGCTTTGAACAGATACGCATGGTTTTGAGCTACCTGCCCGACTGCGGTACGAAGCTGCCTCCAGCAATCGACTGCTCTGATCCAATCGACCGAATGTCAGAAAACCTCCGATCAATCATACCGCGTTCCAAGAACCGCATGTACAACCCGCGGGCCATCATCACCGAAGTTGTCGACCAAGGCTCGTTCTTCGAGATTGGAGCCCTTTGGGGTACTACGGCCATAGTAGGCCTTGCGCGTTTCGCAGGCAAACCGGTCGGCATAGTCTCTCTCAACTGCGAGCAGAATGCTGGCGCACTTGATGCATTGGGTTCGCAGAAGATTACACGCATGCTAAAGTTCCTTGACGTATTCAACCTCCCGCTCGTCCAATTCGTCGACGTCCCAGGCTACGCGATAGGAACCGTTGCAGAGCGCACTGCAACGATGCGGCACGGTGTCACTCTCGCTACGACCTATTACAGCACAACCATGCCCATCTTCAACGTCATCGTGCGACGCGTCTACGGCGTAGCAGGAGGCATCATGCTGGACTGCCGTGACCCACGCATGCGCGTCGCTTGGCCGTCCGGCGTGTGGGGCTCCTTACCACTCGAGGGTGGCATTGAAGTTGGACATTCGTTTGAACTCAAGGAGATTGAGAGGAAAGAAGGAAGAGAAGCGCGAGACAGGCGTTATACAGAGTTGGAGAACGAGTACAAACGACTGATGAACCCAGTTCGGACTGCTAATGCGTTCGGCATCGAGGAGATTATCGATCCGGCATATACACGGCGAGTCTGTTGTGAGTGGACAGATCACATGTATGAAAGCTTACTGCCAGAGCGCATTTTGGAGAGGATCGCGGGAAAGTTGCAGCCTTCCTTCGCTTAGAGTTGGATATCGCGTTCGTGTCCGAAAGAGCTCTCGTGAATACATACGATCTGAACTTTATCCTCCAACACAGTCATTCATTCACCGGTCACCTACACTGCGTCGGTGCAACGGCCGGTCAGAGGCAGCGCCGAGTTTACGATACGTTCACATCATCTGGAGTAGTCCGTCAGACACCATCGCTTACTTACACCGCATCGCTTACCATAAGACATACCGCGCACGGCCCACTGTTGTCCATCTTCCGCAATCGGCTCAATATGTCCTGCTTGTATATCCAATGCCATGGAGCCGAACGCTCGTCCTCCGGATGCGGTGCCGTGCTGACCATTCTGGAACAGGCTGGCCGTCAGATTGGTATCGCTAATCAAGTTCCTACTGGGTACTTTACCCCTCTTGGCATGCCCTCGGATTGAGGAAACTTACATCGAGTATGAGATGTCATCGTGTATCATGCGCATGTCGTTTGGCTCCGACTTACAGATTTCTTTGTCGCATAACGCCGAACACACATTACGCAGATGCGTGTGTGTTTCATGCCCACAGTCATACGAACAGCGACACAAAAGCGAATCTGCGTGGCGTACTACTCTATCCGCGTACCAAAACTTTAAGGACGATCCTTGATTCGTTACTGGACCTCGTATATGACCACCAACATCGCCCGGGTGCGGGGCAAAGGTCAATGCACCCCTACCCCAGCACAACTCTACCACAGCCCTTCCAGTTTCGCTTTCTCACCTGCATGCAGTTTGATGATACGAGCCATGATGCGCCGCACAAATCTGGGGTATATAGAACTAACGGGCATGTCCGCACGCCCCGGACGCCCATCACTGCTAGCCTCCACCGCTTCGTTTATCTGTCTAGTGATATTCCCTCGACTTCTGCCGAAGCTGCAGTCTGAAGTGTGATACCAAAGATGGCGCCCGTTGGCGCTGCGGCGGCTGCGAGGCAGGCGGAACCGATATTGACACGCATTGTTGAACAGGACCAGATACCATGGTACAGAAAGCGGAATTTGAGGAGGCTGTATGCACTCTTGCTGCCGACGTGTATTGGGATTGAGATGACTTCTGGATTTGATTCGCAGATGATCAACGCAGTGCAAATTGCGCCAACATGGCGGCTCTGTAAGTCGAGGTTTCACCTATAGAATGCCCTTGCTGACAACGTAGACTTCAACAACCCACAAGGAGCGCTTCTCGGTATCATGTCTTCAGCATACAACCTTGGCGCGATATGCGCTCTTCCACTGGTGCCGTACGTGAACGATAGATTTGGCCGACGATGGGCAATCTTCTTAGGCTCTTGGATCATGGTCGTGGGATCTGTAGTACAAGCCTTCTCCATTAGCGGTATGACTGAACGTTCAATCGTCAGATGAAGTTTACACTAACACGTTGTAGCTGGCATGTACGTCGGCGCGCGCTTCATCCTCGGTTTCGGCATACCCTTCTGCATCATCGCAGGTTCATCACTAATGGGCGAGCTTGCATATCCAAAGGAACGACCTATTATGACATCTCTCTTCAACGCACTCTGGTTCGTAGGCTCGCTCATAGCAGCAGGAGTCTCATATGGCACCCAAAGCCTGAAAGACGACTGGGCCTGGCGCATACCTTCGCTACTCCAAGCCGGCCCATCACTACTCCAAATCGTCTTCATCTTGTACTCGCCTCATCCCCACTGCTTCCAAGATCTCACCAAGCTAACCTGCCCAGCATGATCCCCGAATCCCCACGCTTCCTCATCTCCAAAGACCGCCGCGAAGAAGCCTACGCCACACTAATAACCTACCACGCCGAAGGCGCCACAACCTCCCCATTTGCCGCAGCAGAAATGGCCCAAATCGAACACACGATCCGCATCGAACTCGAACATTCAAAACGCTCCTGGCGCGAAATGATCGCCGTCCCCGGTCTACGCAAGCGCGTGATAATCGGTTCTTTCCTCGGCCTCTTCACACAGTGGTCTGGAAACACTTTACTCAGCTACTACCTCAACCAGCTCCTCAACATGATCGGGTACGACGACCCTGGCTTTGTAGGCAAAGTGAATGTTGGGCTCAATAGCTGGAATCTGGTGAATGCGGTGTGTATCTCGCTATTGGTGAGGCGGTTTCCGCGCAGGAAAATGTATCTCATCTGCGCGAGTAGCCTCTTGTGTTGCTATGTCGCATGGACGGTGGCGATGCAGCGGTATACGGCTACGAAGAGGATTGAACCTGCGAGGCTGACGATTGCGATTATCTTTTTGTATCAGATGTGTTATAATATTGGGTATAATGCGTTGACCTACAGTGAGTTGGTGCGAGGGTATTTGATGGGGAAAAGGATGCTAATGGACCCGCAGCTTTTTTGGTCGAGTTGTTTCCATTTGCGCAGCGCACAAAGGGGATTACTATCTTTCAGTTCTTCAGTCGGACGGCGGTTTTTACAACGACGATACTTAATCCTATTGGGTTGAAACATGTTCAGGGGAAGTGGCTGATTATGTATTGCGCTTGGCTGGGGTTTGAGATTGTCTTCATCGTAGGTTCTTAATCTCTCCTACCCAGTCCGTATCTCTTATTCGAGTCCATGCGCTAATGCATTCGCAAAGTACTTCATGTTCCCCGAAACCTACGGCCGTACCCTGGAAGAACTCGCGTTCCTCTTCGAAGACCACGCTCTTGCTGATGAGGCGACGACGCATGTCGAGAAGCAGATGGAGTGGGCTGAGAGGCGATGGAGCCGGATTGATGAGCGCATGAGTTGGGAGATGGATGTTGTAGTGCCGAGGAAGGCGCCTGATCGTCAAGGAGAAGGAGGTGTTGATGCAGGGACGCTGGACACGAGAGAAACAGTTCAACGGCATCAGTATCGGAGGCGGAACAGCAGCTGGGAGGATCTCAGGCAGCGGGAGTAGCTATAATGGTACATCTTGTTTGCACTTCAACGTTATGCACACTTCGCCTGGCGACATATTCCCTAACTTCTTGCGATGCTATGTGATAGTCTAGTAAGTGAACCTGGTTCAAATGAGTCAAACCAAAGCCGGATCGTCTCAACCACTTCTACACCCTGCTTGGATCTGTCATTCGCAGCGTTATTAGGACATACTTGATCAATACTGCTGAAACGCCAGGGTTGGATAGGAAAGTTATCGAAGATACTGATACCACTATCAAACAATGCAAAGGCATGCCAGTCCATATGTATTCGAGTATTACTGTGGTAGTGCATGGTTAATGTTCCCATCCACCCAGGTAAAATTCTTCCACTCAACTTGATTCGGCGGGGTCGGCCAACAAACCTACCCCTCATCAGCCAGCCCCACATCACACTTAAACACCCACACATCAAATTTCTCAACCAACGTTTCTAACCAACAACTGCAGCGTGCAAGGTCAAACGCAGTCATTATATTCGATATAATTTCCAAATTGCCATCGGTTTTGTAGTGTACGTCTTCACAGATTCCCACTTCCAGCTTGCCCCCGCTAATCACCATATAGGTAGCGGTTATCACTCCGGATTCTGATCTCAAAATCAGTGTCTTCCGGCAACCCCGGTTCGATTCCGGGCAAGACCTTCCTTTTGCCAATCTCTGCGTCGTTTGGAGTGTTAGGTGATGCGTAGGAAGAAGCTGGGTGCTATTTGGGGCGTTGGTGATTTTTGTTGCGGACGGGAAGAACGGCGGCGAGGTGGATGCGGCGCTGTTGCTGGATGATGGCGTGATGTTTGCGGAGAACTTTAATGATAGGAAAGAGATGGGTTGGTAAGTGTTATAGTACGTGGGAAAGTGTTTGGGAATAGTTGTCGTTGATGCATGTTTTCGCTGTGGAAGCTTCTCTTTTTACATCACTACAATGTTGTAGGCCGTATCCTAAAAGAAACACCATAGCTCGAGGTCGTTGACCACCGCGAAACAAGAGTACACAGCAGTCTCATCTACAGGCGCAGACTCTTCTTTGTCGAGAGAATACAAGAGATCTGCTTGCACAGGGCTTGGCTTCCCTTTGCACAGCTTGCTTCTACACTCAGCAGTATAGTTCGCATGTAAATTATCGCAACTTATGCTTCACTGCAAAATCTGCGGTCTGGTAAATATGCGAAAGTTTCTTGCCCTGCACTGCTAAGATGAATTCGATTGAAATCCAATGCAACCACCCTACGGCGCCTTAACGCCCTTCCCACTACTCCCACAAATATCCATCCACCTCTCCGTCGCCTCCTGTATAACATCCATCTGCATATCAATCAACTTCGCCAGCGGCGTCGATGGCGCGTTCTTTCTCAAAACCTCGTTGCCCGGTTCCAGCAATAGCTTATTCACATTCAGCTTAACAGCACCAGATCGTATGCACCGTTGCATGACCTCAGGCGGGAAATCATTGGTACCGTGTAACGCGACCAAGACGCGCTTGTTGATTTGCTTGTCGATCGCTTCGAGGCGGTCGTAGTGTAGTTGACCTTCTTTCGGTCCAGCTGGGCCGTAGTCGCCGTGAACGTTGCCGATTGAAGGCGCGAGGATATCAACGCCTGCAGCGATGAAGTTGTCGACGTCTTCGGGGGATGTGAAGAGCGCTGGTAAAGTCAGTATTTACTCTTCAACTCCGAACCATAAGAATTGGGTATGGCATACCTTCAAGATCCCCCGTATCAGCAATACCATCCTCTCCACCGTTTATCCGTCCGCTCTCTGCTTCTACTGCGATACCCTTGTCCTGGCATTCTTTGGTCAATATCCTCGTCTTCTCTAGATTCTCAGCCTCGTCATAATGTGACATATCCACCATGACTGAATCGACAGGGAGTGCCGCGATGATTTCCCGAATGTGCTCGACATCCTGCGCGTGGTCGATGTGTAGGGAGAGAGGTACTGTCGCGGTCTTCACGGCGTGCGCTGCGGCATGCGCGAGGAGGGGTAGTTGTTTGAGGGTCGACGGGAAGAGTTGGATAATGAGGGGCGATTTTCTTGACTCGGCTGCGCGAACGAGAGCTGTGAGTTGCTCCACATTATAGCTGGTCTGAGATTAGCAACGCGGTTGGTATGTGTGAAAGGTTCCGTACGCAATTGCGGCCATGACGCCGTAGTTGCCTGCGGCAGCGGCATTGAGTATGGCGAGCGTACGATTATCTTTGCTGACTGGCATGATGGCTATAGAACGATGTATATTGGCGATGTCTTTGATGTTCTATCGTATCGTTATGTAGTGTTGGGAGAATTCGAGCGCATTCAATTCACCATGTCGGAACCGTCTCGGAACTGAAGCTATTATCATGTCCCCGCGGCTTATTGATTCGGGAAAGCCGCGGAGTTTGAGAACTATCATTGGTGCTCGTCGCGAGCAGTCTGGATGGCCTTGACGGAGTTGCGAGCGAGACGGCGGGCACGATGGAACCGCCCGACGGGCCTTAGCCGATGTGCCTCGTTACGAGGCACAAACGTCCCAGAGAGGCGATCGGCCCTCCAAGATGTACCCCGCTTCTACTCCATCTCTGCAGGGAATTGCACGACGGCGAACATACACCTCCGTGTGGGGTCTGTGGGGAAGGCGAACCTGAATAAGAGCCTGCTCCGCTACAACCTCCGACTTCTGCCTCGCAACGTGACACTCCGATCTTGTCATGCTTTCCTGATCTTGGCCCGGACACGAGTCATGCGACCACCTCATCGGAACCAGGTCTGCATCGCAGTGGAGTCAAGGCAAGTGCGGCTGAACATGCGGCTGAAAGTCTGTTTTCTTGCGGTCCGACATATGCCGCATTGCCGCATTGCCGCGATGACGAAATTGACATCCACTCATGGAGGAAGATCGGACTTGACTTGCATTCGGCACGATAATGGAAGGTTATGATTCGGCTCGCCAATAGCTGGTAAGATCCGTGAGTAATGTCTTAGGTGGAAATTTGGTGATGTCAAGTGTTTGCTCAAGAAGATGCAAGATAGCGGTTTGTTTGACAGGGTTCTGAACGCATAGACCAGCTAGAGACTGTAAGCTTTGTTTTGGATGGTACGTGAGTGAAGGAGCTTACCAGCATAGATAGACTTGAAGTTGACCATGGCGCTCGCGATATCTCTACCTTGATGCGTTATGGCGATGCCGCAGATCATGTCTACACTTTCGTCCAAAGTGCGCTGTCGAATTCTGAACTCGTCCACACCTCCCATCGATGGCTGATTGATGAGAACGATGATTCGCGCAAAGTGAAAGGTCTGCATGGCAGCGGCGTACGAAGGAGGATGGATCCAGATGGGTGTGAACAGAGCGCCAGGGCCAGGTGGAGGGCCGCGATGGATGGGTTGAAAGGACATCGGGAGCGCCGCATGCCAGTCCTCTAGCGCTTGTAAGAGCTTTCCAGCTTGCTCGATGCGCGTGTTCAGGTCGTACTTCTTCTCATTTGCTGCAAAGTCCACACATCTTCCGCATATGTACACGATCCGTAACGCAAGTTCATCCGGGCTGAGATCCATCAAACGCTTGGTAGGCCGCCAGATAGTGAGAACCCTTCGTCCTTCGCGGAACGCAACCCAAGTATCTTGACGTATCCATTGCCACCAGGCGGCTCTCCGGAGCGGATCTGGGGACTCTCCGTTGTTATTCTGGCTCCGTTGTATCCAGAATATGCCACGAAGATGTCTTTCCCAGGCTCCATTGCTGTACTGGCCTTCAGAGTCCCACATCTCATATGTACTGATGAGGATGGAGGTTGATATGATTTCCCTAGATTTATTGTAGGACGGGTAGAAGAGATTCTTCGATAGGTAGTGCAGAGTCTCATAGTAATACTGCGTCGCCACCTGAATCAACGGACTATGAAGTTGTCTGGTCCTGCCATCTTCAGAGCCTGGTTCCGGATCATGTATGTTAAGCCGACGAAGCTGTGGCTCGTTCAGAAGTGCCATGTGCCGCGCCGACACGGCGAGCAAAGACTTCAAAAGGCCAACATTGTGGACGGCTAGAGAAGGAACAGTGTATGTAAACTGCTTGGAAGGGTCGTTCAAGTCCAAAATGGGACCAATGACATTGACGTAGTGTTGGAAGAGCACAAGCTCGTCGTCCGACATGGGTATGACATCGATACAGTTCCACGGCTCGTGTCCCGATGGATCGGCATCTTCCGTTCGTTCATATGAAAGCGGGTGTCGATCAGAGCTTGCTGCGTCGGTTGCTGGACTTTGCTGTCTGGACAAGTTGTTCCTGTCTAGGTCCACATTGAGATTGTACTTGTCGATATTGTTGATGGCATCTTCAGCAAGCAGGTCGTAATAAGCTAGAGGTGCGGAGTTGGGAGAAGGTAACGAGTTGATGACAGTCGATGGCGATTCAAACAGGAGCTCGGGAGAAGCATTCCAAAGCTGAGGATCAATCTCAGGTGGGATCGCTCTTCTGGCAGGCGCCGGTGATGTAGTGGCAATAGAAGAGGCATCCTGAGCCGGCGACGTGTCAGACTGTACAGAGCCGGATGCATTGCTTGCAGCACCTCCAGGTGGGTCATTAGGTGATGGCCATAAGCACTCTCTGTCGGATTTGCTGCATGTTGCGCATCGCGGTCTTAGCTCGTCACATTTCACCCTCCTTCGTCTACAGGTTAGGCTGTCTGTGTTAGCTAGTGATCAACTGTATACTTTGCACGCTGCCGCTGATCGGGCTAGCGAGCTTCACCATGGGGTGAGACAAGATAACAAGTGCTGAGGGAACAGCTTACCATCCAGTTGTCGTACGTAAGCCCTGCAAGAGAAGCGTCGAGTCAGTATAGCTCTCACATGCAGTGGAGATAGGCAAACTTACTCGCGCTCGTGAGGGACGGGGTTTGCGCGGCTTGGGATTGCCTGTTGACGATGCTTGCATCACGAATGATGTTGCGCATGCTGGTGGAACTTCGCTTGGCCTCGAGGATCCGCTTCGGCGGTTAGGCCTGCCGTGGGGAACGAGTCTCTGACCAACGGGACAGGCTTCAGACTAGTCCAGGATGACACAGCGCATGCGGAGCCCAGTTGTTGATATCTCGCGAACCTAGGAAAGGCGATCAGACGGTGGTTGGGAAACTGTGGCAATTTCGCAAAAGGCCCGCGTCGGATACAGTTCTAGGACCCCGCGCCAGTCCAAAGCACTGTCCACCACCGGCAGAAGTTGGGAGGCCTGATGGCCATGATACAGTTCTGAAGTCTGTTTGTGAGAAGTGAAGAAGTTGCGTTTATGCAGAAAGGAGGTATTTCGATGATAGCGACGGGTTGTGTACAATGCCAGGACGTGCTTAGTCAGTCGTGGTTGTGCGCGTTCCGGGTTCTTTCCGTTTGAGGCGGATCGCTACATCCTTCACTGTCAGCACCACCACATCATCAGCATCAACACCAACATCTGCACCAACATCGACACACATCACTTCGCATTTCCTGTGGGGCCGAGAATTGGAAGAAAATGCGTTGAATTGACTCTAGATATATCCCAGCCAGCCGGCAGTTAAGAACTCCACCCAATGCATATGGCGCGACGAAGAAGCAACCAAAACCTCTACCAGGCGCCGACAATGCCCGCAACAGGAATATCAATACCCGTAGTGTAACTGGCACTGTCTGAGAGCAGGTACACATACGCGCCGCCAAGTTCGCGGGGGTCGGCCAACCTAGGCATGCCGCCATAGTACTGCATCTTCAAGTTCCAGTCGGGCGCCCGCTCAACGTAGTAAGTCATCTGCGTGCGCACGAAACCCGGGGATATCGAGTTGACGCGGATGCCGTGCTTCGCCCATTCCATCGCGAGTGTGTGTGCCATATTGCGGACTGCGCCCTTGGTTCCTCCATATGGCGCTGATGGCGCTGCCCTGTTTGGCCGGTAGGACGTCATGGATGCTGTGAAGACGATGGACCCCTTGATACCGAGCTCGATGAACTTCTTCGCGGCTGCCGTTGCGCAGAAGTATGCGCCAAAGACGTTGAGGTTGAAAAGCTGCTCGAGCTGCGGGCGGTCGAAGTTGAGTGCGGGCTGGTGCTTGGTCATTCCGGCGTTGGCGATCATACCGTCAATGCGGCCCGATTGTGCCACGATTTCGTCAATGGCTTTGATGACGCTCTCCTCAGAGGTGACATCGCAGTGCAGGTAGTGTACGCGCTTGGGGTTTGCCTGTTGAAGTGCCTGGAACTCCTCGCCGGGCTCGAAGAGGTCCAAAGAGTAGATCTCGGCGGCTTCGTTTGCGAGGCATACTGTCGCGAGACCAAGTCCAATGCCTAAAACGTCAGCATCCATCCGCAATCTAGATCCGACATGCACCGACCTCTGTTTGCACCGGTAATAGCGACTACTTTGCCCTTCAAGGTTATCTTCCAGTCAAAGTCTTCCTTCGGCTCAGTCGTAAGGTAGACGGGATTTGGGACACTTTGCTCGACTTGACCGCTGGCGGCCTGACCAGCAGGTGCTGTCTGGTCAGATTGCGGTGTGATGGCAGAGGGAGACATTTCCGATTGGTCTACAAGGGTACGCTGCGAAGGTTTGGGGATATTTGGGAGGGCAGGTCTCGCGAGAGAATGGAAAATCGAGTTACCACCATCACTTCGCTGGCACCCCGCATGTTTAAGTACATCGCATTTAGGTACCCCACAAAGGCATGTGGCAACCGAGTGCTGTTGATCGGTACCAGACACACCCCACGGGTGAGAGCGCCGCGAACCAGGTCCACAAGGCCGGGGTGTTGTTGAGACTCGGCTCAAACCATCTTCGGAGGCGCGATGGCCTCGTGGCGAGCATACGCGCCGACGCGACAAACACGTGAGCTTCCGACCTTTTGCCTTCGCTTAGTGGCACAAAGCTCGCCTCGAGCCACATAGCCGGGCGCGCAGCGAGTTCATGCATGGAACATGTTCTGTCGTGTTCCACAACCAATCGTAACCGTCAAGTTATCGGTGCAGGCGGGTCTGTAGCGGGCCTGTAGCGGGCTTTCGGCTCCTAGTATGCGACCTGGGCACCTGGGGTAGGGAAAAGGCCCGAACACAATCTGGGGAGGTCCAAGCTGTTTTGAGCCAACATCATCAAAACCTGTGGAGGTGAGGTATCTTCCTCCTATAAAGCTACACGGGTGTCGCACCCATCTGGAGATATCCGCAACGGTTACCGCAACACTGCAAGTTGGTTCCTTCCACTGCAGCTTCGTTCCTGTCACAACGCTGTCGCACCTGTCAAACCGCAAATCAGGACACCATGTCGTCGACACGCCACTCTCAGGATCCAGTCGACTTCAAAGAGATGGACAGCACTAAACATGTCGAGGTCACCGAAGATTTCACATGGACGAAGGATGAAGAAGCGAAGTTGGTCCGCAAGATCGACCTGTTTCTGCTCCCGACAATCTGGCTGATGTACCTGCTATCGTACATGGATCGCACGAAGTAAGTTGTATTTCAAGTGACGTAGTAGCGACAGCTAACAAGATCTAGCATCGGAAATGCGAAAATCGCCGGTATGGCTGATGACCTTTCGCTCAGCTCTGAGCAATACTCCATTGCATTGGTTGTATTCTTCGTTACCTACGTCGTCTTCGAGCCGCCTTCGAACATGCTCTTGGTTCGCCTCAAGCCATCCGTCTACCTGCCTGCCATCATGATCATCTGGGGAGCCCTGACATGCTGCATGGCCGTCATCCACGATTTCAAGCACCTTGTCGCACTTCGAATTCTCGTTGGTGTCTTCGAAGCCGGTTTCGCCCCGGGTATTCTTCTGATCATCTCATCCTGGTACAAAAAAGACGAGCAGTCGAAGCGCTTCGGTGTATACATGTCTGCGGCTATTCTCAGTGGCGCATTTGGTGGTCTTCTCGCAGGTGCCATCACTGGCGGCATGGAGGGTACTGGTGGTCTTCGCGGGTAAGGAACAAGCCCCGAACATTGAGAAAACCTCATGACTGACTGAGTAATAGATGGCGATGGCTCTTTATCATCGAGGGAGCTGCGACCATTGTCTGGGCGATGTGCGCATACTTCATCCTGCTGGACTTCCCCGCCAACACCAAGCGACTCACCGACCGCGAGCGCGCTATCGCCATCGCCCGCCTCAAGGAGGGTGGTGTCCAAACACATACCGAAGGTGATGAAAGAATGGGCAAGGGAAAATCCTTCCGTCTTGCTATCTGCGACTGGAGGACCATTTCCTTCATCCTTGGCTACATGGTAAGTCAGAACGTGCGAATCATAAAACCTTCGACTAACAGACGTCAGGTCATCGTCGGCTCCTCCACCCTTTCGTACTTCTATCCAACGCTCATGACGGGTCTCGGATACACCGACACAGTCACCGCGCAATACATGACCGTCCCCATCTACGCCGTCGCCTTCGTCTGCACTGCAGTCACAACCTACTACGCCGACGCCATCTCCAACCACCGTGGTCTCGTCATCGCAGGCTGGCTCGGTTTCGCACTCATAACCTCGATCTGCGTACTGTTCGTCTACGAATTCAAGGCACGATATGCGCTGCTTGTTCTCATGGCCGCTGGACTCTGGTCCTCCAACGCTGTATCGCTATCTTTTGCTAGTGCGACCTTCGGATCCATGCAGCCGGAAGTTAGGGCTATTGCGATCGCGCTTGTCAACGCGATGGGCAACCTTGCGCAGATCTACGGCGCATACCTCTTCCCTGCTGACGACAAGCCAAAGTACCTCATGGGCTTCGGCGTCATCTCTGGTATGCTGGGTCTTGGTATCGTGGTATACATCTCCCTTCACATTGCTTTGAGGAGGAAGGAGGGGATCACGGCATTCTTTTGAGATATCTCAGAATAGCTCTTGACAGGTGGCTGGATGTCACCAATCATGCTTGTCAACATGTATATATTATGACAGCGTTCAAATTTCATGACGATGATCACAAAGATGATCACAAGAACAACCGCTTTTGTGCAGGTGATGAGTGACAAAACTGACACGTCTCCACCTCATATCAACAACGTACTGTGACTTTCTAATTCCACAATCCAGAACATCGCGGTCACGGTATACCTGTAATATAAAGACAAGTCTAACCTCCCAGCACCATGACATCTACTGCGATACAATCTCCCATACTGCCTGCTACATACCACAAGACACCTACAAGCAAATTTCGGTGACCCAAAGTCAACTCGACGAACCCACATCTTTCGCAGCACAAACCACACGCTATGGGCCTTTTCAATTTCTTCAAAGGCAGCAAACCCCCACCCCCACTCTATCACCACGGCGAGCCCGGCAAAAACGCATGGTTGTCACCCATACCAGGTCCCAGGGATCCCGGAGGTATGGATCGTAGGAATGTAGACGCACGAGTAGCAGGGGAGGCGCGTGTAAAGGAATTTTATGAGAGGAATTCAAAAGGGCTGCCTCAGTTTAGAAGGCGCAGTGACACTCATGATATACCGTCTGAGGTACGGCCTTCTCGCGGACCTTCTCGCAGACCGCAAGAACAGCTGGATGAGTTGATGCGTATGGGTGTCGGTGGACCTTTGCACCGTAGAGACGACGGGCTCTTTGAAATACCTGATCACCTTCCTCCTTTGGACTTTTCAAAGCGGAAGAGAGATAAGCGTCGCGCGCGATTTGCGGAAATGATGGGGACGGGACGTCGCGACCCAGCTATTCAAGACCATAGTTTTGGGCGATGGGACAATGGTCTAGGAGGGGGACCAAGACCTAACGCTGGGTTTCCGGACCTTAGGGATGTGGGCCGTGGAGGCCCACCTGTTCCTGATCATAGTTTTGGGCGATGGGACAATGGTAGAGGGGGAGGAGGAGGAGGTCAAGAGGGTGGGCGTGGCCCGCGTTGGCCTGCTGGAGGTGGTAAGGCTTCTGCTTGGAACATGCATGATTGAGAGGAGATTGATGGGGTTGTCGTCGGGACATCGAGCAGCAATGGAGATTTTGGAGATATGGGCGGTAGGTGTACTAGAAACTACTGAAATAGTATGACAAACGCATCTTTACGCCCATTTATTCAGTACAGTCAATGTTTTCTATCTGCTCCTCTGACCACTTTCATTTGAACGAGGTCTAAGGCATAGGCTGTATGTTCAAGGTGTGCGGCTCGGTGCGCAACGTCTGTGTAGCATCACTCAATTAACTCGTGATTAATAGATAAGCATTGTCACGGCGATCGAATGTTGATGGCGTCTGTAACATTTAGTCCAGCCGACGAGCGCAGCAGTGTACGTGGCGTCACTTCACGCCTCATCAACAGCACATGAACCTTCTTCACAATCATAAGTCCTAGCTGCTTCGTATAAAACATCTCTCTCTTGTGGTTAGTGCAACTTCCTACAATACTTTCTTCTGCATCGATCTACACCAAAACAGCTACCGAGGTACTTAGCAACAACTCCGGCTTGACACTGACGTCAAAAACCAATACCTACTTCCTCCAAACATGGACCCCTTCTTCATTAGGCGCCGCGGCAAACCTGGGAATTCTTCCGGGAGGTATCCTTTCGGGGGTTATCCTTTCGGAAAGGCACAAGGCAAAAGTCATCTCTTCCCCACCGATGAAGAGAAAGCGGAGACAGCCCAGGCTTGGATGAAAGAGAGAACTAGATTACTCGCAAGGCACAATGAGCACAGGAAAGATCATGGTCTTGAGCCAATGCCAGCCGACCGGGCACAACGTTTCGTCCAGCCGCCGAGCGAGTTAGAAGCGTATATCTTCAGTCGATATCGGTCCAACAATGGGTTCAACAGCCCTCTTAACGGCCGTTTCAGCAAAAGAGACCGATTCTCAGCGCAAGCGGAATACTACGAGTTGCTGACGGAAGCCTATGGTGATGCCGAAGAGTGGGAGAAAGTCTACGCTGATCAGTGGGCCAAGCTCTTCAAACCGCCTCGCCTCCATGGAGTGGGCGAACGCCGCAATATGGGGGGAATGTTTGATGATGTTGATGACGATGACGACGACGATTATTATGGCAATGTAGAACGTGGAATGCCTCAAGGGATAGGCGAGCCAGTGGATGGAGCTGGAGGTTTTGGAGGTGGGGCTGGTATGCGTGTACCTGGTGGTATGGGCCCTGACATTCCCGGTGTGGGCTTTGGCGTTGGCTTCGGCGGTGCCAAGAGGCGTGGGCGTCGATAGGAGGATCTGCAGTATTCACGGCGGAAAAAAGCCATTTTTCCAGTAATAATGGTGTATGGACCTACTTCTAGTCTAGGCAGTAACTTTGTACACTCATTTGTTCCACATCTTCTTCCACATAATATCGCAAGTGCTCTCAAACCGTTGTTAATGTCCGCGTCGCAATTGTATTCCTGCTCATGACCTGACAGGAAAAATACCAGTGGCAGAAGCATATATTGGAACTATTAATAGCCTTCGCTGCTCATTAATTATGCGAATGTTTGTCAAACTTTACTCTCATCTTCTAGCTTCCAGTAATGGAATGCTTGCGCGTCAATCTGGCCATGACATCCATTCATACACAGTTGTATGAACTTGGTGCTCTATCATTGAAGCATGCAATTGGAGCGCCAGCAACCACTTCACATATACTGGTGATAAAAGAAATCGTTCTCCTCTGCTTTTAAACCATTAAACCACCTCTCACAGGCTCTGCGCTCATTGTAAATAGCTTAAAAATCATATACCATATCTTACAGTATTACATTCATCGAATATCATGTTCTCGGGCTCATATGCCGAGAAACGCCAATGGGTCCGTCGAAAAGGTGAAGCCTTCGGATTGAACTCGAAAGGCGAAGCTGCGTACTACACGAAAGAAGTCAAAGGAAAGGAGACAAGATCGACTAGCGGATATTCTGTGAAGGTCGCGAAAGATCGCAGGTCGGGAACCCATAAGTCATCAGGCCGCGTATCGAGTCAACTCGCACCATTACCAGAAGCACCTGAACCGCCATCTGCTGTTCGTCCTCCAAACAAGAGTACGACCAATTCCAGTCGTAGTACCTCTAGAAGAGACTACGATGCGCCACCTGCACAAAGGATGCCAAGTGCAGGTCGCAGCAGTCGCAGCTCTTACGCTACCAGCGAGGTCAATGCTACCCAAGAACATATCCCGGAAGCACAGCCTGCCCTTTATTCACGGACAGCGCCCAGTGTGGCATCAAGCAGGATCTCGATTGCTCAGTCACGGGTTGATGAGGAGTATGCACACAAAGCCGCTGAGCATGATCGTAGCGTAGCCGGTAGCAGCAAGAGTCGTCATAGCCATCGCGAGCGCAACACCCCTTCCCAAACCCGTACTTCCACACGCGAGCGCAGCGGACATTCAACCAGTCGACCAGGTCGTGCACACAGTGCCTCGAGTCGCTTCTACGATGATGTCGAGTACGACACGAGATCCCACAGAGGGCGAGCCCCAAGCGAAGTCAGTAGTCGACACTCCAGCTCTCGTCACCGCTCAGAGCATCGTGACGGAAGCCGCGCTCCATCCGCATATGAAGATGAGCAGCACGACAGGGACGGGGAGTACGATCCTGAGGATGACGGAATTTACAACAGCGAGGGAATTGGACCAGAAGATTCTGCCTCTTCTGTGGGTGCGGCGCGCGTGGAGAGAACACGCCCGTATGCGCAGAGCATGATCGATCGAGAAGTCGAAAAGGACCTAGTGTACATGCCTGGTAAGGCCAGACTATACAAAAAGATAGATAGACATGCTAGTTATAGAACGGAATTTGTCGTTCCAGCGTGGATGAGCGGAGAAAGAGTACCGGGCAGTGCTGGATCAACGATCTAGGCGGTGGATCAATGAAGCGGTGTGGCAAATTTGTATATTAGAGAACTCTAAAACATATTACATCGACTCGGGTGTTACCACACAAACCTTAGAAGTCCAGCGCTTTAACACTCGCGATGGTGAATGCGGAAATTGCGAAAAAGAAACCTGCAACACCGAATGCGCCCTGTATGTCGTGTTTTACCACTGACCACACAAGCCCGAAGACGACGCTTGCCAAAGTACCAAGTAGGGCTAGACCGAAGAGCTTTAGCTCGTCAACACCGGTAACGACGTCAAGACCCCAGCCGATACTGTAAGTGTCAGTGTCTTACTATCCCTGGAGAGAAAGGCGATACTTACCTACTACCGCGCATTGGGCAAGGTTCGAGTTTGTCGTTCTTACGTTTCGGTATGCTTGGAAGTAGAACCGGGAATGAGGGGCTCTCATCCGGATGCAGGAAGAAGTGCATCAACAGATTCGGACCGATTGGAGGGACATTATCCGCTGGCATAGGAGAGTAGTCATACTCGAAGTTTTGAGCGGCGGGCGGTATATCGTTAATCTCGTGAATATCTACTAGCTGATGATGATACAGGCGAAACTTGTGAACAATGTTAGCGAAGGTTATGTGGCGCCTTGAGGAGTACATGAAGAGCTTGCCTTTACAAAGCGCAAAGCTGTTGGTTTCTTGAACGACAACAGCTTCTTGTATGGCTCCTTGGACTGTGCGTAGCCATGCTTCAGAGCTCTAAAGAAGTCGATATCTGTTTTGAACTGACATGACTGCAGCGCAAACATACGTGTAGCGTAGCGACTCCAAGGAATGCACCAGTGAATGAAGTGGTGTTTATGGTTACTCGTTGGGGTTTGTATGTCGCATGGCCTTTCACCGACACCATCACCCTTCCTATTGACCGGTTCATGCCGTGGAAGTTGGCTTTTCGACGTTGGCCATGGAATGAATGAGCGTAGAAGGCCATGAAACGAGAATGTTGTTCCTTTTCGCTGCGATTGCTGTGAGGCTGCTTGTTGATAGATTTGACGAACAGATAGCAGTCTTAGCTGTCGTATCATATCGATGACAGCTCCCTGAGAAAGCTCTGTATAGTCATCGGTGATGATCTTCCCACAAGACTTCCAATTATTAGCCATATGCATGCGACCACGATATGTAGCTGGCAGAACTTACACATCCAAACTTGATTGTCATGGTGCGCGGCGCAGAGAAGAATTTGTCGCTTGTACTTTGGATTTCTTCTACCTTCGAAGATGGAATGTGGCTAGGCTCACATACGTTCTTCAGGGAAGCCGGTGCAAATGATTTTGTGAAATTCCAGAAGGCTCTGCTTGAGCATAGGAATGTCTCGAAAGCCTCGACTTGACCCCGATTTTCTGTCGAATTTGTCCAAGGATTCATGGATGATGAATAGCTACTGTCACCAAAAATGAGTGGGTAGGAATGCCACAGGGGCACTTCTTCTGTCCATGACGCAATAATCTTACATGATAGACGTGATAGTCTATGCCGAGCTCCTTTTATCCCGACGCGTTGGGAAGCCGAGAGCATATGTTGTTCGGCTTCTCTCGCAAGATCATCAAGGAAAACACCCAAGAGCTTGCGTAGTGGTATCACATCCTTTCTAAACGAGAGTCTTTGACTCGCTGTGGGTGGGTGTATGTTTCGTACTAAGATCTCGGCCAACTCTTCCTCATAGTTGTGCGTATGCTGTGCGAAGTTTCTTATGTTTTCCTTCAGTGTCTCGTATGCGGTCCCTTTGAAGACAAATTCCCGGATCTTGGAGAATGCGGGCATGAGGGCTGGATTTGTTTCGCCCAAATCGATTGGTTGGAGTCGCTGCAGCGAGCCAGAAGCGTTATTCTCGTCAGTTAGATACGCACTAGGGACCGCAATAGCATGAGTGTGGAAATGTTTGTAAATCGCAGATGAAAGATACCGCAAGCGCTGTCGTAGAAATGCGCAAGCGTGGTGTTGCAGGGTGGAGTCAGCCTCGGCGCGCAAATCCCTCTCGAACGCCCCTAGGAAGAATTGGACATTCTTTACTTTCATCTCATTCGCGCTCGATGTCGGAGAGCGGACAAGATTTGGCCAACTCAACTCTGGATCTTCAAGTAGCACCTTTAGTACCTCTGCAATAGTATCTTGCCCTTCTGATGCGATGGACGAAGTACGTCCGCTTGGTGCGATTGAGGTAGAAAAGGTGCTCTCGTCATCATCCGAGCTATCATTCAAGCCTGAGATGTTTTCGAAGATGTCGGGGATATCGAAAGTCTTTTTGTATCTCTGATGTTGGGGGCAGACATATCCTACTAAGACCGTTTTGGTTTGGACGCCGTGGCCTCGCTGGCCATGCGCTGCACAGGGGTCTATCGCATGCTTGTAGTATAAGCAGCGACAACGCATGTATCTTTCCAAGATTTGATAGCACATTCGAGGTCGCGCATAAGAAGGCTTTTGACGTGGTGTGGTTATGGAACGCAGCCTGGCTGCGGGGTAAGTTGAAGTGTAAGCAGCAGCCTGCCTGACGAGATTGGTCGCTTCCTGAGGATATCTGGCTTTAACCCGATGCGTCATATCATGCTTTCTCCATCTGTTTCCTCGTGCCATAGCCTCATAGGTAGACCTGTTCATACTATGAATACTTTCGCATTCATTCTGACCAGCCTCTGCACGTTTCGTGATCAAAGAATGTGCAATCACATGTATACACTTACAAAGTCACCACGCCGGTACCTGCGCTCATAGCGGGACTCGCCACAGCGAAGCAGAATTTCGTGTGTGCCCGAATTGAGTTCGTGCTCATTGCCCATGCCAATCATGTACCGTGATTCACATCTCTCTTCCGTCACCCGTGAGCCTTCGTAGAGTCACGGTTATGTCGACGTAGTCAACTTCACTTAGTGACACTGTGAACGCAGTCATACGATTGCATGACCTGATTATCTTCAAGAATGACCATTCACATGAGGCTCATTCAAATATGCGGCCAGATACCCTACCTTATCCATCATTTGCCATCATACTATTTCGCTTGAAAAACTAATCTGGATATATTCCTTGATGCACAAGCTCACACTCAAGTAGACATGGGCCGTCCTGCGATACAGCTACACCCAAAAGCGCAAGCCTGGACCCGTACCAAAGGAAACGGTGCGGAAACTAAGAAATTCGAGGTCGAGAAGCGGAAAGACGTGCACAACGTTCCTGGGAAAGACAGACCGTCAAGTTACAAAGTAACAAGTCGCGGACCGCATCATCCTCTGCCTGAAACGCAGGTCCCGATTGCAAGGGCGCCTCCACCTGTAGTACACTTATCTAGCACAAGTCTAGCAAGCGCGGCACCAATTCATAGTCGAGAGAGGCCCTATGTTCGAGGTCTACCCGAGGTCTCTGTCGTATCTTACAACGCATATCCTCGAAGCAACATCAGTGAGGCCCCAAGCCATGCACCGGCAAGACCAAATCTTGCAACTTCGTCGCATACCCCGAGCGTCGCTCATAGTACTCATAATACCCACGCTGTGAGCGTAGTCAGCGATCTTAGGAGTCATGCGAGCACCAACAGCGTCGCTCAACCTAGCTTACCTGGAGAATCCCATCCACCTTCTCTGAGAGATATCCCAATACCATCCTCAAATACGATTAGCTCTCGTACTCACAGCGCTGTGAGCACTGCCCCGAGGACGGCTTCCGAGGACTATCTGTCTTCGCCCGTGTCAAGAAACAGCTCTCGCGCACCGAGAGCTACATCCGCCGCTCCGAGTCACGTACCCGAGATTTACCCGTCTTTACCCCCCTCACGAGATAGCTCTTGCGTCGCTCAAAGCAGGGTACCCGAAAGCACGACGTCTGTGTCTGAGTCAAGACTTCTAACGTATCGCGCCCCAAGCGTTGTGACCGTCACATCAAGTACGATATCGGACCAGCACCCGCTTTTTCCTGCGTCAACTGCTTCAAGCGTGATACACAATTTGCAGCCGTCGCGTTCTCCGAGTGTCGCTAGTGTTGCCAGAAATACGGTATTGGAGGACCGTTGTGTGTTAGCCGCACCTGTATCTGGGAGTCCTGGTATCGCACCTAGTAGCGTCAGCGTCAAAAAAGAGTCGTCAGAATACCTGCAAGAGAGCCACTCGCGGGATCCCTCGCGAGCACCGTCCTTGCAGCCCCTATCTTCACGAGCGCCATCTTCGCGAGCTCCATCTTCGCGAACGTCTAGCGTAGCACCAAGCATTCGAAGCGAACATGTCAGCAGCACTGTCAGTGCCGCTCTACTCCGCGCCAATGAAGAGTACGCCAAATCTGTAATCAGCTGCGGTTCAAGCGAAGTGGAAAGCAGTGTGCGAAGCCGCAGGCCAAGTGTCGTCTATCGCGATACACGTCACACACGCTCTAAACGCTTTATCTACAATATAAATGTTTATACGTTCTATTATCTAGCGTTTATCTAATATTCTACATCTTTTTTAGTATTATTATTTAAGCCTATATATTTTTCTATATCTTTACCTACACGTTATATAAAGTAAGTATAGTATTTATTTTATTCTAGCGTTTAACGTTACTACTAAAGTAGTTCTAATATATAAGTAGCTACTTTTTATAAGTAAGCTAGTATACTAAATATTCTATTCTTATTAATAGCTTATATACTATTATTTACTTATTTTAAATAAAGGTTTAGGCTATTAGTATAAGGCCTAAAATATTAGTATAACTTATAAAGAATATAGTAGTATTACTTACTTAATAAAGTATTTAAGAAGTAGCTATATATTCTTAAACTATGTAACTCTTTAGTATATATACTTATATAAAGAAGATACTAAAGAGCTTATAAGATTACTAAATACTTAAGAGCTTATTTTTTAGTTAGAAAAGTAATAGTAATAATATTAGAGAGAATAAAAGTAGTAATAGTAATAGTAGAGTTATTTAGGTTCTATATAAAAGTAATAAAAAACTAAAAGAGTATAAAGTATACTATATTATATATAAGAAGAGAAAGAAAAGTTATAAAGATAAAGCTTTTATATTCTTCTTTAACTTACATGTATATAAAAATCTTAAAATCTAGTTATTCTATCTTATAGTACTGCAATAACTTATTAATAATAAGCTACTTATAACTCTTGTAATATATATAAGATACATAATAACTAAATCCGCCTATTAAATATAGAAGGGATAAGAAAGAGGTCGTCCATCGCGACGAAAATCATGCCGACCTAGTCCCCGAACGAGCCCCAAGTAACGCTGCAAGTACTAGGAGTACTCGCAAATCGGGTCGCAGTGAGCGAGATATGAGCATCGCGTCTACAGCCAGAAGTCATGCGCGCGAGCAAGACTACGAGCCGAGAATCCAAAGCCAGTCGATCTCGAAGCGAGCCTCGAGTATCAAACCTAGTCGGAGTGAGCGAGGCGGCAGCACCGCGTCGAAAGCCAGAAGTTATGTCGATGTTAATGAACATGAGTCCAGTAGCGAACGCGAGCCAACTTCGAGACGAGCGTCGAGTAAAGCAAGCAGTTCTAAGAGTAGTCGAAAAGCATCTCGTGATGACCGTGGTCGCAGTACTACATCTCGCACTGGAAGTGCTCAGCATGAACCAGCGGAGGTGACAGTAACTTACGATGAGCACGAAGACGCTAGGTCTGAAAGTCTACCTTACTCCGAACGTAGCAAGTCTGCATCAACGCGTCGCAGCAGCTCGGTATCGAGCGTCGAAACCGTCCGACCACTTGCAGGCAAACACAACGCGCTGGTAGTGTACAATGACAACGCCCTTCATACCGCCAAAGCTTCGAAAGATGCTACGCGTCTCCGGTCATCCAGGCGCAAGAAGAAGCCCGACATCGATGTTCGTTCGTATGTTGGCAGCGATGATGTGACTGTAGTTCTCCCGGACCCTTCGGAGGTTGGCGAGGCGGGGCGCGCATCTGGATCGCAAGATCAGCAGAAACAGCAGCAGTATCTTGAGGAGTACCAAAAGTGTCAGCGGCAAGAGCAACAACATCAGCAGCGGTATCAACAACGGCAACCGAACTCGCAGCCGTACCCCCAGCCGTACTCGCAGTCTGAACCGCATACGTATCCTTTCCAGTACCCACAACAACAGCAGGCGCATTACCCTACTTGGGGCACACCAGGGGGATATCCGCAATATACAAACTATCAATATCCAAATCAGCAATACCCAAACCCGCGATATACACATCCACCGCCCACCGCTCAATCATACTATCCAACTGCGGATGCAAGTTATTCGCCGCCGTACGTGACACCTACGCCTCAATACGAAACGGGGTATGAGAAATTGGGCGAAGAACTTGCGCAAGGTCGGAAAAGCGGTCGTTTGCCCAAGGCCCGGGATAAGCGACGTGAGAAAGTGGAGCGGCCTAAGAGGACAACTCGCATGGAGGAAGAAGATGAAGAGTCAGCGCTTGTATACGAAGAGGGTGACGGTGGCAAGTTCCCTGGGAAATGGTTTGATCGAAAGGCCTGATAGTATCGGGGGTGGGATGGTCGGAGGCTGGAGGTGGCGTATGGCTCGGCGTTGCGCAGTTTCGCAGAGCAGAGATTGGAATTGAGAAACGGGAGCTAGATTGCTCGGGGAGGTAGAAGGTGTAGATGATGCAGATACCGTAGCGGGTAGACTCATCGATGTGTACGTTACACAAGACTGAGGTATGAGTCACTTGCACTGCTTCTCGTTAGATGTAGGATGAATATACTCTTGCCATCACGCAAAGTTGACTTTCGAGTATGGTTCGCCTGGTGATGTCAGTATGTATCGTAGTGCCGTGGAATGTATGCTGGCCTGCTCATCGTCTCGCGTTTGACCAACGTCGATATATATGTGACCTAGCGTTGCAGTGAAAGAGATGGACTCATGGGTGACGTGGAAACTGTCACTCACATAACTGCTGGCCTCAATGTGACATATGCGAAACTGCCGTGGGCGTTCTGACTGTGAACCTTACGAAGAAAGCATGTCGCGTGGGTTATCGATACTGTCAATGACATACAAACCAGATGCCAGCTTTTTCAATGGACGATGTCACATACAGTCCGCGAGGAGAGTAGTACTCGTCCCCCCGTACCTATAAATGCCTCTCCCGCATGCCTCACTCTTTCTTCATAACAACTCACAAAGCCTCGACTTCGATACCCAGCATTCATCGAAACTATTCGCATCATTTGGCACACCTGGATCAACCTGATCATCACACAACTCACAAACCATCCAACCAATACACATCTCCAGGCCACATAAAAAAGATGGTCTTTCCACCGTCGGTGGCAAAGGCAGTGCTTGGCGTAGTCTCAGTCAGAAAAGCCCCGGACGGAAAATCACAAACCGTTCTTCGGAAGACGAAGGTAGCGGAGGGAGGCTCGTCTCCTCAAGCCAAGAAGAAGACCGATGAGAACCAGCAACACAAGAGAGAAGCCGAAAAGAAACAGAGACTCAAAGAAAAGTATGCCAAGGCAAAACTCAAGTACGAACGCAATATGAACAAGGATGGCTTGACGTATCTTGCGTTTAGAACCGGGGGGGAGAAGCCGGATTTTTCCAAGGGCGAGAGGCCGGCTGTAAGGCGCTGACCAGACGGAGACAGGCGTGGAGAAGAGGTTCGAGTGCCGGCACTCTTTCTTCCTTGATGTTTCGATGGACGATCATACGTTTGAATTGTTGTTTGCGGAATATGGTTCAAGTTCGGAGGCGTTTGGCGTACGGTGGATCGCGCTGGTGTTCATTATATCAAGGATATCGTCGGTGGATAGGATGTCACGAAGGACTGTGATTGTGAGTAGTTAATTTGAAGATTACTGCATATTCACCGTTTGGGTCGTGGTCCATATAGTGCCACTGCGCTTCGCCGGGCCAAAGTACTCCTTTTCCACTCGTCGACGATCCTAAACAGCAGCTCTTTCTACCGACGTCAGCTTCGACATCCCACAAGTGCGTCTTCTGTGCATCATCGAATTCCTGTGTCCATAGTGTCAACAGCATGGGCTTCTTCAAACGACTCTTCGGGGGAAGTAGGACGCCGCCTCCCATTCACTTCGGTAAGGTATTCAGAATAGCCTACTAGTTCACCACTAAATAAGCAGGTTCATATTCTGCATACGGTGGATACGGTGGATACCCTGCATATGGAGGGTATCCTACATATGGAGGATATCCTGGATACGAAGAACCAAGACGCAGAAGTAACGCGTACGCTGACGGTTACGATTCTGATGAGAGCCATGGCGGTTATCGATATGGTGGTGCTCGGCGACGATACCGCAATGGATCAGGAAGACGTGGTAAGTGACATTTCCGTGAGCTGTTTCTGCGTCCAGTGTTGAATCAGTACTTCCTCTTCCATTACCCCGACAGTCACATGCCTCAGTATAAGGTCGTTGTGGCTGTTTCTTTCTTCATGTACCCAACGCATTCTCACCAAGCACCATGGTACGAACGAAGAAGTACTGGGTACGCAAGCATATCCCATCAATCTGGGAAGGATGGAGCAACAGTCGGCGAGCTCATCAAATAGACCAAAGAGCGAGACACTCTAGGCCGCCCGAGGAGATGATGGGAACGCCAAATCGTACAATCTGCCATGTAGTAAGCAGAACCGATAGGAAAGAGCTGACCATGAGACAGACAACCCAGCTGGCGGTCCGCCAGGCTTCGTACCCGTTGGCAATAATAAAAATAGGGGCAACAATGGTAATGTTCCTGCGCCGCAGCGTGCTCCTAACGCACCGAACCAAGCACCACCAGCTCGAGGTCCGGGAGTGGAGGGCCAGGGTCAGGGTCAGGGCAATCCTCAACCGCCGCCGCCGCCGCCCCAGCAGCAGCAACAGCCACCCGAGTTCCACCAAATGCCCGCTATGAACAACACCCGTGGCCCACAACCCGCAGAGGCGGATCCTCATCTGCAGCAAGGAGGGCAGTCCGAGTATGGTGAGCGGCCACGAGGGCAGGGCCGAAGCGAGTATGCTGACGCTGAACCCGCTGTTCCTGATGGCGGGCGGGGCGGAGGTGCGCCTGACAATGGACCGCCTCAGCACCCGTGGATGCCAGAGACGCGGTTCTATAACCAGCAGCAGACGCGGAGGAGAAGATAATGATGATGACGCAAGATGGAATGAAGGGGATAGGTGATGAGTGGAAGGCGCGCTGAGCGCTCATGCTGGTATGATTAGCTATCCTTGTAGTATGCATCTCAGTATGCCTCTTCGAAATTATCGTAGTATTCCATGAAGAAGTGCCCAACGCGTGGCGTGAGGACAGTGACAAGTCGAGTGGAGAGTGAGAGTGAAAGAAGGTTGGTGCGGCGGCCACATGGGGAAGGTCTGGCCGCAGGCTTATCGATTAGGCCGCGCCCATCTCCAAAATTTCCACCAGCACTCCGACACCAACAACACCGCCAAACAACGCCCACGATGCCGAAACGAAAGCGCGAGACGACTGCCGCCTCCGGCAACCTTCCTCCTCCCGTCATAATGAACCCCGCGAAACAAGCCAAGTACTGCCAGAAGCGCCTCGAAGATGCGCAAAAACCGCTGCTCCAAGCTCTGCGCCATGCTTCACAGCTCGAGCGCCAGAAGTACAGTCGCAGAAAGAAGTATGCGACCAAGAAGGGACAAAAGGAGGCAGTCTTTCGATTGAACGCCGAGTACAATGTCCTCAAGGCGCTCAACTTGGAGCAGCTGGGCGACCAGCATTTGCGCAAAACTTTGTCACGGGTCAAAAGCTTGAAGGATGCGGAGCCACTACAGGAATACATCTCCGGCATCAGAGAAGGCAGCAAGGATACCAGCACACTGAATGTCACCGCGAGAATGTTCAAAGTCGTACAAGTGAAGAAGGCCGTGGATCAGGTCATCGAGGACCTGAAGGGCATACTTGGGGTCGACAAAGCCAAGGACAACGAAAAGGTGGAGGAGATCGTTAAGGAATACACGACAGAGGAGATGAAGAAGCACAAGGAAGAAAAGATGGCGAGGAAGGCGCAAAGGGTGAAGGCTGCTGACAAGAACGACGTGGAGATGAAGGACGCGAGCGACGAGGCAGACGACCCGTACATGGCCTTCAGCGCGCGGATAGCTGAGCCGTCCTCGGGGGAAGAAGACGACGAGGGCTCGGTGTCCGGCGATGAGCGACCGCCTAGTATCGCAGACAGCGAGAGCGAACACGACCCTGACGCCGATCTGGAAGCTGCCAGCGAGGACGAAGCGGAGGAAGTCGCACAACCAGACGACACTAGCGACGACGAAGAAGAGAACAGCGACACCGTAGCCATCTCGCGATCAGTAGCCCCTGCCTCCGACGAGTCCGCCGATTCAGATTCAGACTCTTCCTCCTCCGAAGCCACCGTTCCCACCAAAAAGACCAAAACCAAAGCCGCCCTCGAAAAGCCCACCTCCTCCGCCTTCCTCCCCGCCCTCAGCCACGCCGCCTACTTCTCCGGCTCCGAATCCGAAGCCTCAGACCTAGACGCAGACAACGCACCGCGCAAGAACCGCCGCGGCCAACGCGCGCGCCAAAAGATCGCCGAAGCGAAATTCGGCGCCAAAGCCAAACATCTCGAGAAGCAACAGCAGAACGTCAAATTCGATCCCAAACGCGGTGCCGTTGCCGGTGACGACAAGCGACAAAGAAGGGGCAAGCCGCTGGGCGGTCGGGGTGTGCAGCAAAGTGGAAGCAATGCGGAGCCGTTGGGCAGGAAGGATGATAAGAAGGATAGGAAGATGGGGCTGGGTGTTAAGAGGGATGATAAGGGTGAGTTGCATCCTAGTTGGCAGGCAGCGAAGTTGGCGAAGGAGAGCAAGAAGTTAAAGATTGATCTTGGGGGTAAGGGGCCTGCCGCAGGGAAGAAGGTGGTTTTTGATTAGATTAGATACCCCAGAAAAGTTTGCGCGGGTGGGTTGTTAATGAGTGGGCTGTTTCGTGCATGATATGTCGTAAGGGTGCTTGAGATCTTGTTCGTGTGCAATGGGTGTCTAGCAGAGGTATCATTCAGCGTCACTATGAAGATGTCAGAATTTTCAATGAAGAGAAGGACGAGAAGCTGAGTCTTTACGCATTGCTCGGCACGAACTAGTTATGCTACGGTATACGTCTGCCTAAGCCATACCATCGTTTTCAACCCTCAATCCTACGACCAATCATCGAACCCTGCATGTCAACTTTTTACTCATCGATGCTCAACCGCAAAGAACGACCGGATACCACGTCTCCACATCACCGACACAACTGTGGGCAGTAGTCCTGACAAGTACCGCGATACCGTCCATGGCGACCGTCCTCAACCAGATACCTCTTCATCCTGTTGAGGCATTCGTGGCGGCAGTAAAGGGTTCTGCAGTGATGGTTCTACGGCAATGTTAGTCAGTGCCAGGAGGAGAGGGCGGTGGGGGAGTAGGTGAGTGGGACCCACTCTGAAGCAATCATCGCGCATCCTCTTACATTTTGTGCAGGGAAGGTCGGTCTTGTTGGCGAGGTCCTGGTATTTGTTAGCATGATGGTATTGGGATGTAAGGGGTGGGTGAGGGGCTAACGGCGTCGATGTTGTCTTCGTTGGTGTCTTGTTCGTCGGTGTCTTCATCGGCGTCCTCGTCGCGAGACGAAACGGTTCGAGCGACACACTGGGGCGCAGCTCCACCGATACAGGTCTCGGTGGCTTCGCAGACCTTTGTGTTAACCCATTTGCGGCCATAGCAGCGTTGGATGATGTGTCGCTTGATCGGATCGAGGTAGGCGCACTGCTGAGTGCCTTCAAGACAGACCTGTTGTCTGGATGAAATCTCGTTGGCGGCGACAGCAGGTGTCTCGTCCTTGTCAGCGATCTCACCGTTTATGGTCGCGATGGTACAGTGAGGTGAAGGGTTTGCAATACAGATGACCCCGGCGTTGCAGATTTCGTGGTCGACCCAGTTGTGGTTGATGCAGCGCTTGATGGAGTGGCGGCCGAGGAGGATGATAGAGAGGATGGAGCACTTCTCGTCGCCGTTGCGACAGTCTCCGCTCACGGCAGATCCGGTGAGATCGTCGGAGAGGCCAGTGATAGCGGCGCCTGAGGCGATCTCGACGAAGCCTATGAGAGCAAGGAGGAAGATGGCGAGGAGCTTCATGATGAGCCGGTGGTGTGTAGGGGTAGGAAAATGATCAAGAAAGTAGTGTAAGGGACGATCAGAATAGATTGTTGAGGAGAATATATTTGAGAAAGTTGGCGATATACCAAGTTACTGGCTATAGGTATAGGAAGAATCTGCACTGAAGTTGGCCCAACAAAATCGAGGTGAAGGCGACGAGACACGTCACAATGTCGCGCGCTTTTCTCTAAACTTGCTCATGGCTGCCGTCTCGTATTTAATCTGTCACCGTGGGAGAGGGTATTGAAAACTGCTCAGCAAGGCCCGCCCTTGGTGGCTGTGGAATGCTGCGTGATGTTCATCCATTCCGCCCTCGCGCTGAGTTTGTACCGTAAATCGATGAAGCATCTCTCAAAGTTGCAATGTCGATTTCCAGACCATTGTTCAGATTCTATATGCGTCCGACCAGCGCGTCGAGTCGTTTTGAGGTGGTTTGATGTCGCTTTGGGACAATGGCGTGGTTGTCGTCGCGTGGTCACGTGGTTGAGATGGCGCGTGTTGATCGGCCATGCCGCAATTGGCCGCGGCCCTCTTTTCCATCTCATGCTGTGTTGGCACCCCGCTCAAGGGATAGACTGAACATCCACTTAAAGCAGTCAACGTACGAATCTACATCGCCAGTGAATTTTTCGAAAGTACATTCAAACACTCACGTCGACTGTGTTAGACGAGATCGATTTCTCACTGTTTGAGGTGCCCGCAACTGCCCGCACCACATCCATCGAAGACATGTCGCAACCTCCGGTATGGGGGCGCGGTTATCCCACGGGAGCTGAAGAGCTCGCAGGGCTTGTGGGGGTTGCTCGAGAGCGAGAGTGGCCATTGGCTAGGATCGACGGATGCCGCAACGGGCATGACTTCGTGAAAGAGCAACGTGGACGAGAAGATGTGCCCTTTCCATTCTCCAAACATCCCATTGGGCATGGCGATCCCTTCGTGAAGGTCGACTCGTTGGAGGTCTTGAGACGGGCGATTTCCAGCAACAATAAGGATGCTGCGACGTTGTACTTCCCGGGCCAGGTCCATGTCACAGAGTCAGTCCTCTAGCCTGTAGCGCTACCAGCGCTGCAAACATTCCAATAAGCTGACGAGGTGCCTGCTACAGCCAAACGATTAAGATTATCACCGATGCTCCATTGGAGTTCCGAGAAAAGGTCTGCAATATCTATTGCGGAGATCCATCGCGCCAAAAGGCGCTAGAAATCACAGACGAAACGGTTGCTGCCATGATCGAAGCGTTGCCGAACTTAGAACACGTGCGCATAGATGGTGCACCACAACTTACCGACCGCACGCTTTCAGCATTGCTGCGTTGCGATAAAATACGGGCGATAACCCTAACCACAACCCGCGATCAGCCAAACACGTTGGAGAAAGAGATGCTGGAGGATGGTCGATGGCCACGAGAGCTGAAGTTCCTCGAGCTTAGCGGCCAGCAGCTGCCTGGGGATATTATCGACTACTTCGAGTATTGGACTAGCGAGAAGAGGAGTGCAACACCTGGAGCGAGCCTAGAGATTGTCTACAACTTCGGACCATACTACATTTTCTGGCGTGACGGGTTCCCACGGTGCATCCGAGACTACGATTTCCAGAAATGGGGGGCATGGGATCCTGATTTCGATTAGATGTAGTGGCTCCGCGCGTATAGGACGGACGTATCCGGCCGTATTTAACATCAACTCGAGAGGATTTTCATTATGCGTAGCTGGCTTTCGTGAGATTGTTTCGTACCATACCGCTCAACGTCATCTCGGCCGGGTGGCGCAGTACAACGCGTCCGCGTCAATAAATGCCCCTGAACTGCGCCTCAAAATTATCGCTCAAGTGGGGCTGTCAGAGCCTAGCTCATCGGGAGGGAACATCCGCGTGCCAAGTAAAGCTTAAAGAAGCTTGACATCCTGCGTAAAGATGGTGAACGCCTCATCCAAATCGCTGCATTTGTTGGAGTTTGACATGCCAGTGGTTGAATGTGGTCGAATGGAAGCGAACGTGATTGCAGTAGCCTCTTGCTGCAGGCTATCGTGGCTGCTTTTTGCCGAATCCGGACAGCGGCACCGCCTCACCGCCTCACCGAGATTGCGCCACGTTTCAAAGGTCCGGCCGTTCGCATTTGTTACGCATCGTGGGCCATCTCGAACAGATCTAGCTGCAGATGTAGTGGACCGATTGATGCGTAAGAGGGGTATAAGCAGATCATTGAATAAATACCTCACCCCACCTGCGTCCACATTACCAGACCTCATTACAACCTTCAGCCACATCTCTCTACCTACCTTACATACGCAATATACTCACCATGGGTTTCCTCAGCGAATTGATCTCCGACTTCACTAGCTCTGGCAAGCAAGACCAACAGCAACAGCAGCAGTCAGGCTATGGCCAATACCCACCCCAACAACAACAGCAGGGCTACTCACAGTACCCTCCCCCACAGCACTCTCAGCAACCACCACCAGTCTCACCACCATGGTATGCCGAGTGGGATCAACGCGAAAACCGGTGGATCTTCGTGAACCAGCAGAACGGCGAGCGAACTTACCAATACCCCGGACCCGGCTACGCGCAACAACAGGGCAACTACGGCGCTCCCCCACCACAAGGTGGATATGGTTACGGCCAGGATGGCTACAGTAACCAGGGCGCATACCAACAAAGCGCGTATGATCCGACTCGCAGCGGTCAGCAGCAAGAAGAGAAGAGCGGCGGTAATGGCTGGAAGTACGCCGCAGCCGGTGTCGCAGGTGTTGCAGGCGGTGCACTACTGATGCACGAGAGCGACAAGATCGGTACGTACCCCTCCACTCACCCAACTTACCCACATCATCTCTAACCCCCCTCACAGAAGACGGCTGGGACAGCGCCAAAGCCAACGTATCCAACGGCGTCGACGAATTCGGCAACGACGTCAGCAACTTCCCCGAAAACGCCGCGGGCTGGACCGGCGAGCAAGTCGGACGCGCCGAGAACTTTGGCGACGACGTGGAGCAGAAGTGGGACAACGGCGTCCAGGACGTGGAAGACTTCCCGGAGAACGCAGCGGAATGGACGGGCGAGAAGGTGCAGGCTGTGGAAGATATACCAGAGGATATCGAGAACAAGTGGGATAACATGACGGAGGGTGTGGAGCAGTTTGGTGATAATATGGAGAATGCGTATGATGAGGGGAGGGACGAGCAGAGGTATGATGATGAATACTGAGATGGATGAAGTATGGAAGGAATGATAGGAAAGGAATGCAAAGCTAATCAATAAGAGGTCCAATGTTGATCGACAAATTGGACCGTGTTCGTTGCAATGCACATTGTTGTAAGGTCAACCCCAAGGCAGAATTCTCCAATCCGACACATAGACTGTACGAAGTAAAAGCGACTGTAGAGCCGAGTACAAGAGCAAGGAAAAGAACAAATCAATCTTTCATTGTCGAAGTAACCGTTCGTGGCGTTGGTAGCGAACTCGGGTCCAGGCACCATTGGCAAAGGCGCAACGTCGCAACTTGTGCCCGGCGTAGTCGCTATGACGACGTCAGGATCTGCATAGACTCCGCTCCAATACACTGCAGCATCAATCGTGTCCGCACGAATGATATTTGCGAATTATTCCTTCATAGCATGCGCTGCACAGGCTTGGCGGTGGGGTTGAGGTCGTAGAAGTCGGACGTGGGATGCCTGACGGAGGCGCAGTCGTGCGATCAAGCATGTCTTACTCGGGTCCCGTTCCGGCGTACAGGTGGAGTAACG